TTTATGAAGGTGTGATAGCCATTTATTCAGCGTAAGAGGCAAGAATTTTCTTGGTTGAGATAAATCCATTATAATGGAAATCTGTTTAAGCATATGGACTATGCTCTCTGTATTATAATAATAATAATAAAAGTAACAAGAATAAAAATAAGATGGAAATCAACAGTAAGTGGTCTGAATTTAAAGATACAAATATGCATTCATTAGAATTTATTATAAATTTATAGAGGAGTTTTTGGTACTTTGGCCCTTTGGCTCATGCGTGTGTAGGTGGCTACATTTCAGTGCCTAAGCTCTATCAAACAACTGTCTGCCAATATCCCCTATTGAGTTTTTTATGTAGCAAATGATGTATAGTGGGTGGATCAGTGAGTGGGCAGGTGGACAGTCCAAACGGTGAATGTTTCCATGTTTAAATGTGTGAGTGTTCCCCACTGGGCTTCGAGCCACAGTATCCATTGTAAAACCTTTGATAAAGTGATCTCTCCTAGCAGTGTGCAGCCAAGTACATATTAATAATGCATGCTACATTCTGCCTCACACTTATTTATGAAAGCATGAATAGGCACACATAAATGGACACTTATTTCACACACCTGTGGCTAGGTAAGCTGCAGCCTTTGGAAGGTCATCCATCACACGGAGTTAGATATCAGATAAAGAGAGACAGACAAGACACAAGAAAGAGAAAGACGAAAGCCAACGGGAGGATGCAAGTTTGAAAGCACTTGTCAAGTAAGTGAAAATGGCTTGAGTGCCTTGGGCAATCTCCAATTATATTGACATTGCGAGTCACTTCCAACCTCATATCAAAAGCACTGAGCAACAAAGGAAGTCCCAGTTGCAATGAAGATTCGCTTCCTGCATTTTGCCTAATAAAGTTTAGAGCAAAAAGCCCTCCTTTGACTTAGAAGATTGGTCAGCAAAAATCTCAAAGCACAACTGAAATCTAGTGGGACAGTTTGCTTCCTGTATACTATCTTCTGGTTTGAGTTTGCTGGTGTTTATTCTCACTCCTACTGTATGCGGTCTGCAAGTATTAGAAAGACTATACCCAAAAGGGAAACCAATCGCACTATTCGCTAAAAGCCTTCTTTATTTCCTCAGCTGCTCTCACTATGATCCTTTGCTCACTGTCTATCTGTCCATCAATCCACATAGCCATTATTTTCATGTGGACCTGCCTCTTTCCCAGCATGCATTTATCATTTATCTTCTCATCTATACATCTCATGACAGAGAATCCAATATCAGTGTGCCTTGAGGTTACTCATAAAAGAAGATGAGGCATAATAAAGAGTGAGACGTGATCGATGTGTGGAGGTTGGATCAACTGTCAACATAAAGTTGACGTCCCACCCACCACCTACCCTTATGAACTTTTCACATAGAAAATACACCGTAACATTGCCCAGTATTGCAGCCATTTCTCTCTTCTACTGCTTTTCCATGCAGTAGAGCCAATATTCACTTTGCTGCTGATGCAAATTGTGGCACCAGCACTCGGAAAATTGATAAGAACATGAGTGGCTTTACTTAACAAACAAAAGACAGACACTTGGCAGGACACATGTTTATGGACATTCATAAACACTCCCTTTCCATTACTAATTAGACAACAACTGCAAGGCCTTAAAAAGGCAATTTGCTATTCAGACTCCTAGTGGAGATGAGAATCTCTGCCCTAAAAAAGAAAGAAAGAAATTGGGGGGGAGAACATCCCGAGGGTCGAGGCTCTCATTATCACATTCAGTCCAAAAGAAGAAAGATCTCAGTCCGTGCTTTCTACTCTTTTAAGTATATGCTTCACCCACTGTTCCTTTAGCATACAGCATCTATCCTCTACTATGGAGCCAAATTAGATTTATAAATCGTCACACACACATACCTTTATAACAGAAACATTAGTTGGCTATAAAATGTCCATCAAAAGTAATACGCACTCCTCAGGTTTAGACTGTGATAACATACAGACTAGGGGTGCAACGATATTCGTATCGATATTGAACCGTTCGATACAGTGCTTTCGGTTCGGTACGCATATGTATCGAACAATACAACATTTGTAATTTATTTTATCAATTTTCCTTCTGACGATGCTGTCTGTGTTGAGCGCTCAGTGAATCTGTGTTCGACTACTCCGCCTAGGCTGCACTGCCGAGCGCAGATCCACTGAGCGCTCAACACAGACAGCATCGTCAGAAGGAAGAGCGCAGGGCAAGCTAGCGAGACAGAAGTTAAGCTCTCCTTGCAACAGGCAAATTGAACCTCATTCAGATCTGGCGTTTGGAATTATTTTGGTTTTCATGTGACGCATGACCCTGAAGGTAAGCGAGTCATGGACTAAAGTAAAACAGTATGTTGGATGTGCCATGCAATGCTCAATTACATTGGTGTGAACTAGTGTGTTAGCGCAGTTAGCTCGTTAACGTGTTGGCCGTCTAGCCCCATGCACGGAGCGATCGGCGGTAGCTCGTTAACGGAGATTTGCCGTGTTGTGGCGTTAAGGTCATTTCAACGAGATTAACCTGAAAGCACTAGTGGGAACACAACGAATATGACTGCACATTTACGCCGACATCATCCTAGTGCAAAGACAAGTGGAAGCAGACAAAAAAAAGCAAGCATGCTACTAACTTTAGCCGAGTCATTTAGACAGCTGTTAGCACATGATTCTCCTTATGCTGCTGAGAATATAGCCCAGAAGAAGCGGATAGTATAGCTTTTATTTTGGAAAGAGACATTTCTCTGTAATAAACTCTCTTTTCCAAAGATGAGTGATTCCTCAATCAGATACAGGGCTTGCAATATCGCTAGCCCGACGTCCCGGAGCTAGCGATTTTTTCATCAGCGATCTCTTCCCTGCCCGTCGGGCTATTGTAGGAAAAATATATGTCAATGCTTTTGCATTCTTTCAGAAATGTAGCTGGGTAATTATGTCATTGGCATCGGTGAGCCACTGTCAATATGTGACATATTGAAGTCGCGTTTGAATTTGCGCTTGTTTTTGCACCAATTCCTCTGACATCGTCTTATTAATCGTTAGCTTACTATGCAAACATGACAAGTGAAATCTCCCGCAGCAAGCTTAAACATGTGAGAGGTTGATCGCGCAGAGAATCGCTGAGCTTATGTGAGTGCATGTGTAAAAGCATTTCAGTTCTGCTGAGCCAAATAAGACAGGTCAGGGTGAAGAAGTGACAGCCAAAGAAAAGCTTACCACAAAACGGAGAAGTTATGACAAATCAGACAATAAAGCAAAAAGAAAGTGCAGCTTTATGGTTTCATGGACAAAATAATTTCTGTGGCTGCGATATGATGAGCTAAATAACCAGGGCTGCACATAAGTGGTCCGCAGGTGCGCATTCGCTGTCAAAATAAAAAACACGCACAAGGGTTAGGGTTAAATTTAAAAACTGTACTTTTGAGTTAAAATATATATTTATAATTTTAATAAATGACAAATTAAAAATGCATGAACATTTTTTTGTATCGAAAAAATATCGAACCGTGACACCAAAGTATCGAACCGAACCGAACCGTGAATTTTGTATATCGTTGCACCCCTAATACAGACCTCCTAAAGGTTGTTCTGAACAACTGTTGGGTAGTTGTGTACTTTAAAACAACTAGAAGATCCTGTTACTAAACCACTCTAAAAATGTTTTGAATGATACTCTATTTAAAGGCTTTGGACTTCAACCAAATAAAAAACAACCACATTTGGAAAACTAAGCCAGAAAAATATGCAAACAAATAGATAATGCGCAGATGGTGGTGTTAATGCAGAATTATATGTTACGTTTTGGGCAATAACTTGTGAATTACTCAACTTAACTATTCATGCTTTACACAATAATGCTGTTACAGTTATATGTTGTGTCCTACTTAAGGAAAAGCAATCATTCAGTTTGGCATAAAAATATAGTTTCTCCCCATTTACAACTGCTGTGCTGGTAGGTGTGATTGTTGGATATTCAACTAAACTTCGTTTTACTGTATGTGGATGTAGATCAATGTATGTGAAGATTTAAATCTCCAGTCAGATGCATACAGTATATGCATCAATAAACATAATTCAGCTACCTTTATTAAATTTGTATGCTATATAGAGACTGAATTTTCTTTAACTTTTTTGTTGCCTTTAATAACACATGATCATGACTTTGCAAGTTTGTCTGTGACAGATGCAGCTCAGAAAACAGAAGGCTTTTGTATCTCATTGCTTTTAGTTTTGGGACTGTCACAAAATCTACACATAGCACAGGGTGTCGTGCTTGTTCAAGACAAATCAAACATAAAAACAACTTTTTGTCTTTTGCCCTTCTCCCCCGTCCCTCTTCTCAGCTGTTTCTCTTTCCCTCTTTCTTTCTCCCCTTCTTTCCCCCAGTCAAGTCTGTCCCGTATTCAGTAAGTGAAAATAAAATAAACAATAAAAGGTGAATCAAATGGACCATTACGGCAAGGCTGGGATGGTCAGTTTGGTAAAGTAAATCCGTTGGGCATCTTTCTTTGCCTTTAGACAACAATTCTGATGGCAAAAGAGCCAAACGGGACAGGCCAAAAAAAAAAACAAAAAAAAAAACAAAAAACATAAGAACAACTTAATTTTTTATCATCTTTTTCAAATTGCTTTTATCCGTGTTGGCAGTTTTCATCCCTGGTCTGCAATGAATTAAATGTACCCAAAGTGAATTCCTGATGTGATTTTCACTTGAATGACAAATCGGTTCATCTGCTGTTATTTGTATTGTATTACTTTTACAATGACTAAATACCACAAACATCCCTGTGTCACCAAAACCTAATGTGCTCCAGTTTATCTTTAGGTTTTTACAATCACACTCTGATTATTTAATATCCATGGTGGAGTCTTAGAGAAGAACAGATGGAAAACTGGTCGCTGTCATGGCACTTGAAGAGTTTGTCCTGTGCAGCATCAAAAGCTACAAACAAATTGCAAACTGACAGTTGGTTCCTTTGAGAGGAGTGAATTTTACCTCCAAGGCAGCAGACCTCTTGTGTAGCAGCTGCTCTATGTTCCTGGCTGCTCTGGCCACTAGCTCCTCCGCATCGTTTTGCTCCACAGTGTAGAGGTGCTGGTTACTCAGAAAAATCTACATGGAGAAAGACAAATGTAATTGCTGTTTTAATACAAAAAAGACTTTTTGTACACACATTCATTTGTTTAAATTATTGTTAAAACTAAATATAATTTTCACAGGAAATTAAGAGTTTAAACATTTAGGGGAAAATATACAAGGGGTTGACTTAAATTTTAAGAAAGGAATAGGATTATGCTCAGATTTTATGCATGTCTGTGTATATTCCGGTGTTTATACCTGAGTGAGGCTCTTCCCAGCTGCGGCTGTGTCTGCCAGGGTAACAAGCTCTTTCTGCATCTGATCAACCCATTCTTTAATCCTATGGGGCAAAGAAATGCACACAACCAATCCTGTAGCTCAGATATAACCAGTTTAGAAGAGACGTTGCATGCATTTCAGTTAAACTGTCTTTCAATCTACCGTATATCAATCATCTGAAAAGACCAACCAAGTCACTTGATGCAAAAACAAACAAGGTCAAAGAGAATCACTCTTGTGGGTCGGGCAAAATGTCAACCAATCAAACCCAGATCACCAGAAACAAACACAATGTCATCTAATAAAGCTTGTGTCACTGCATGTCAACTAATACAATTGCTTTCAGAGAGTTCAAACATGAAGTCAACCAATCAGATAAGTGCCAGCTATTGTTGTGACTAGTGACAGTGATGTGAGTGGACAGGCAGGAGGTGGACGGTAGCTAAGACCAACATGCTTTTCTATACCTCAAAGAGCTTTAATCATTTCCAGCCTGCTGGTGCCATTGATGTACGAATAATAGCAACCAAACAACAGACTCAATGATGGTACCCATTCGCTTGAGTGAAAATTGCTCACCTGATGCTTGCCTTTTATTTTTATTTATTTATTTTCTGTGTCGTCGTGGTACATCAGTCACTGTGCCACACACTGGTTTATACCTTAGTCTCATCCTCCTCCATTACTCACTATGTACCACTTGAACAAAGTGGCCATGGATGATCACTGGGAAGAGTAGAACCTAAGACATTATGCATGATATGAGACAGTGGCTTGTTAGGATAATCACATGTTGTCAGGTGATGTGAAGTTGTAATGAATGAATGAATTTGCTGATAGTAAATTATCCTTAATACTGTTCAGAATATCATCAGGTATATTGAAAATGAGTAGGTGTAAGTGTAACCCAGATATTAAATAAGAAAATGTAACCTGTGCATTGATTCTAATAACAGACCTCACTGAGAACCTCTACAGAGTCTGACCTTGGTATGTGTGGGTGTGTGTGTATGTGTGTGTCGTGCAGGGTAGGGGTGAAAGTGACACACAGGAGCCACCAGTCTATGAATGTCTGACTTTTTTTGATAAAAAGTATGATTTAATAAAAAGAAGTTGTATTAAAAAAATGATTGACAAACACAGTTTTTAAAAGAAAGTAAAAGAAAGTATTCCTCTGTATTTGAATTAAAAAGGGATTATGTTACAACAAATGTTCATTTGAGAATCTGCTAAAAACAAATCTAACTGAAGTAGAATTACATAAACTGAATGAAACATGAAGTGAATTATATCCATATGTGACTGAATGTTTAAATGTGATGGGGTTTCTGTGTTAACAATGACATGAAATGTAATGAAGTGATTTTAAAATTTAAACTTTAAACTTTGCGTTAAATCACGTAAGTCAGATAGATAAATAGAGATAGATAAGATGTGGGTGGACATCAGGTGATTAGATGTTAATGCTGGGCCCACGTCCTCATTTTAAGTTTGACAGCGTTTTAGTAGGTAAAGGTGAAAGCTTGGACATGAATTGAGCTGCGGTGTGGGGAAGGCCTCGAAGGGGACTGGCGGCAGCGCCCGGGCCTGGCAGATCCCCACGTAGTAAATAGGAGTGAAGAAGTTAAAGAATTGAGAACAACGAGGGAGGGAGGGTGGGGCACGTAAACGAGAATGAACAGCTTGCAGAACTGGGGGAACCTATATAGATGACAACCGGAAGGAGTGTGCTTGGAGGCGTGGTCCTGCTCCTGAAATTCCGATACATAATCTCCAATAATGTGACTGGATGTCCCCAGTTAGAGGTCGTCTCAGAAGATGTGACATCCAGTAAGAGAGGGGAGAAAGGGTGAACGTGAAAAGTTAAGTGAAGAAGAGATATAGGGTTCTTCCCCTTTGTCTTCTGTGAGATGAGCAGCTCAGAAGATTGGACCTGAGATGTTCACAGTTGAAAATTACAGCAGAGACGCTAGAGGGACTGACCCAGCCCGACCTGTGGACCAGCAAAATGGTTGTATATTTTTGGCTTTCCTCTCTGCTCAGTGTGTGTGTGTGTGTGTGTGTGTGTGTGTGCGCGTGTGTACAACATACTTCCACTAAATTCCCAAGGGATACTCATTTCCTGTTGGGTGATTATCATCAACTCAGAACACGGGGATAAGTGCATCTTTAGGCCTGGTTGTGCTCACCCTTTCTCCAACCTCTCCTCACGGAAGATAAGAATAAAATCAGCATTAGCTCAGAGTCAGTTAATAAGATAATTATAGTTCAGGTGATTTGATTGTTGTTTTGTGATTATTACTATTTGATTTTGCTTTGCTCCTGCTAAATTGCTTTAATAACATTTCCTGCAATTTGTCTAAATTGTAGACATTCACTTTTTAACCTTTTGTGAAACAGTATTGGTAAAAATCTGAGTATCGTTCTTTACTAGTCCAAATAACTCTTACAGGTTACTCTAGTCATTTGAATACAACACTCCCTTGGGGCCTATTGTCTTGGCTTTTAAAATCAACCCAGTTATTAACAAGTGCCCAACTGAGGCTACGTCCACACGTAGCCGGGTATTTTTGAAAACGCAGATTTTTCTATGCGTTTGCACCTTTCGTCCACACGTAAACGGCGTTTTTGGTTACTGAAAACGCAGATTTTTAAAAACTCCGGCCAAGGTGGATATTTTTGAAAACTCCGTTTTTGCATTTACGTGTGGACGAGAAAAACGGAGAAAACGCAGCGTCAAAGGTGTGCGCCTTTTTTGACGTCACACTGTGCGCCACGTTATTGTTTCGGTGAAATGAATTTCTACAATACTGTAGTACAATTGTACTCTCTGCATTGTTTAAATGCTTACATATACACAGTTACTGTCCCTCCACACATATGACTCGGTTCTGCTTCAATGCCCCAGCTTTGTTTACTTTTTCCCACCGAGGCTTCTAGACTTCTGATTGGTCAACATTTCTACAGGTTAGGATTATATCGCCACCTGTTGCTTTGGCATGTTACTAGCAGCGTTTTTCTTCATTTCTGCCTTTACGTGTGGACGGGATTATTTTTTAAAACGAAAACGGAAAATCTCCGTTTTCAAAAATACCCGTGTACGTGTGTACGTAGCCTGAGAGGGGAGCTGCCGTTTAGTAATGAGTGGTGGTGATAAGGCCGATCCTGCAAGGCTACTCGGGCATTTTTCTTATCAGATGACGACAGTGGAGGACATTTGGATGATTACAAGGCAGTCAGAGGGGTGAGTCCCCTCACATATATCGGCTCCAGCTGAACTCTGCATTACTTACTGGGTAAGAGACTTATAGAATCAGAGTTTAGGACTTTTTAATCAGAGAGCTGAAACAGAATTCCCATATAGGGGTCATGGACCCTGCAGATCAATGATGTAGAAACTTTTTTTGCCATGTATACTGTATGAGAATGATGACAAGTTTATATAGCATAGAGAGGTTCTCATTAACATCCATTTCACAATTCGGCTGCCTTGAAGCAACATGCACACACACACAGACACAGACACACACACACACACACGCAGGAACAAACATTGAAAATCAGATATTCATACTCAGAAAATACTTTCAAAAACTGTCATTGCAGCGGTGTGTTGAAAGTCATTCAATTTACTACGTGAAAAACATCGACCGTGACATTTAGTACAGCTGAGGGGGTTGGCAAGACAGAAAGGTTCAGAAGATCAAAAAGCAAGGAAAAAATGCATCAGGGATACAAAATCCACAGTGAATGAGGAACATTCAAAGCAAGCACACTTGTGGAGAAAGATGAGACACTTTGCAAGATAGGGAATAACACAGGGAATAGTGAATGTGAAATACAGTAGTTTAGGGAAAGCTTTACTAGTGTAAGTCAGGAGATTTTAATCTTTGCTTCTCAATCTCCAACTTGAAAAAAGTACAGCTTCTTAAACTCCATAGTGATTTGAGGAAAGTTGAACTCTGCAAATATTATTACCTGTCACATGTAGGCTGCTTATTTCCACTGAACCTATGGCCTATTGGATAATACAGATTATACGTGTTATGCTGATGGGCCTGTTACCCATATTTTGTGTTGATCTATTGCTGTCATAAGTTGTTAATTGTTTCATAATAATCATTGTCAACTTGACAACCTTACCAAGAGAATGATAATTTTCTCTGCCTTGTAATTTTAGCAGTATAGGCCAGGGTTTGCATGACTTTAAGTATTTTGTGACCCTTTTTAATATCCTGTTGTTCACTGGGTGTAACAAAACTGTACTGTTTACACACTGTGTGTGTTTATGTGGACCTTAGCTCTTGAAGCCTGAAGCACAGACAAGTCAACTGTGATTTAGAGTGTATGTGTGCTTCCTGGAATTTGGCATTCAGAAAGGCAGAGGCACTTTCACCTGACTTCCTGAGTTTAGCTTCTGTGGAATCTTATCAGCGTAAATTTCTGGTTGTGAGATAACCAGGGTATGTGTGCATGTGCTCTTCTTCAAGTACAGTATGGGTGCGTGGAAATTTTTTGTTACTCACTTTGTTTGGAAACCTATATGAAAAGCTCATTTGTTTTATGTATACACAGAAACCAAGCACTGCAACATGCAAGGGAATTGGTCTTACTAGTACAGACCTCACTAGACTCCTGCAGCAGAGGAAAATAGTATAGAACAATGCTACACCCCAAAGCCATATCTGTCAGTTTATATGCATATTTGAAATCAAATATTCTTTTTAATTAGGATTTACTGCAAATCAATACAAAGTTGTTCAGATTGATCACCCTTTCCCTATGATAAAGTACATCTATCCTGACTGAAGTAATCTTGTCTTAGATGACAATGCACCAGCCTTGGGGCACAAGGTGTCACTGAATGCTATGAAATTGGTGTAAATCATATTTTATTACCTTTGCTGCTTCAATCCAGTCTCCCAAATGGGAAGTTTTGAATTGATGTTTTCAACAGCATTCTCCATCACCATCATTAAATGAGGGTATGTCTTTTGAAATAATGGTGTTGCATCCATCCAGTAGACTTTCAGACACTTGTAGAATCAGTGCAGAGTCACAGTGAAGCTGTAGTGGTTGAACATGGTGTCCTTGCACCTTACTAATAAATATATATATATATATATATTTCTTTCTCATATTCACCATCCATCTTGTTTAATTTGATCTATTCTATTTCTAGACTAAAAAGGCAAAGTACTCTGATCTGTGTCATTTTATCATCTTTCACAGCGCTAGCACTCTAGCACTCATCATAAGGTGAAGGTGGGCTGTTATCAATGGCTAAATCAAAAAGGTGATCCAGAGGTGCCTGTAATAAACATTAATAAAGTCGATGTTGTTAAGCTGAGGTAGCAACATTTTTCTACTCTGGTTTCTGGGCTTTGATTACTGTAGCCTGTGGTACAATGCTGGATAATTAAACACACATACGCAGACACAAATGCATATACCAATGGCAACTGGGTCAGGCACTGCCCTACATTGTTTTACAGACACAAGAAGAGCAAATGAGAGCAAAAAACAGAAAGAGAGGAAGAGAAACAAGGCAGGAAAGAGAGAGACAGATGTTGTGGTACAATCACTTTGGAACTAGAGAGAGTAATGAGCTGGCCCATGATGTGTATCTCGGTAGGCGGCTGTATTAAACCACAGTCTAATTACGCATCATTATAGAGGCAAAGACTGAAGCAGGTCCAGTCCAGACAGAAAAGCAGAATGAGGCATGGAAACACCAGCTGCACCAAAACAACCTGCAGTGCCTGCCCTCACTCTGAAGCCTCTGACACCCAGGTGGCCAATTCAGTTCCTGTTCAACATGACCTAGATAATAAACGTTGCTTTAATGTGAAGTTAAGGGTTTGAACATCAAAATTACTTGACCACCTCATGACCCTTAATCTGTTTTTTTTGGGAGGGGGGGTTGTTGTTTTTTTTCTACAACCGTGGGACAAACAGTAGAACTGTGATATATTCCTACCACAGCCGACATGGGTTCACAGTAATAGATTCAAAAACTCCCATGCGATGTCTTTAAAGTAAGCTTTTGCCCCAGTTTTATTTTCTGTTAACTTTAAATAGTTGCTGAAGAGAACTAAGGTAATGTAAGATGTTTTGTCTCCAGAGTTGCTACTTTAACAACAGAGCTATTTAGGACTGTCAAGAGACAGAAGAGCAGGTGTTTACAGTTTGCCAGAACAGCTTATCCATAATGAAAATGTTTTCTCTCCATCCATTTGATCAGTGTAATCCAGGAGGATGCACTTAATAAAACAGAGTGTAAAATACAGTTCATTTTAATATCTCTTTTGCTCATGATGCCTATGTTTAATAATTCTATTATATCTCATTAGCTTGCACAATATAACAAATTTTTTTTTAAAAGGAAAAAAAGAAACTTCTTTAGTTTCTCTTCTTTCTGGAACTATTTTCATTCATCAGTTATTTCTCACAAATATCTTTGTTGGTATTGTGCCGTGCAGAAAAGCATGCAAGGACAGTCATGTTTTTACTGATCACTTTCATGCTTACTGTTTGTTAGTCCATTTGGCAAGAAAGAAGTATGAAGAACAAGGACTATCTGGTTTGTGCTCTTCATTCAAAAATGAATCCCCACAGCATCCTCCACTTCTAAGCAAAATGTTTTTCAAGTATACAAAAAAAGAGGAAGGGACATTAAGATACAAAGGTGGTGAAACTGAATTATTTAATATAGTTTAATACAGATGGAGAATCTATTTGTGGTGGGGAGGGAGAGAAACAAACAAACAAATAAATAAATCATATGCCATCTCCACTCAGTCTCCAGCTCCACCATCTCCAACAGCAGTTCTTCACCTGCTGTTGATTGTGGTTAGAGTGGCCCTCTAGCTCTCAGTGCACCTGAGCCAAAGGAGGACTGCTGCTGTTCAAGAAGGTGGAGCTGGAGTCTCATTTTCTTTTCTATTGACAGGATGAGCTCTTCTCTGCAGATGAAGAACAAGCTTGTCACAGAGAAGAAGCTGAATGAAACTGAGGATCGCTACAATTGAAACCTGGCCAATTTGCCAGCAGGTCTAAAGAACACAAGACAGAAAGAGTATGGGTTAGCAGTAAATGAAGTTTACAAATAAGAGCGAGGAGATTATCCACAAGCAAATCAAATGCAGAAAGCATCTTGAAAAAAAATGCTTTTTTTTAAAGCTACACAAAAAAAATGTAGAACATTTCAGTAAGTCTGTTTCAAATAAAATGGCTTCTGGATTTTCTGAGCACTTGTTGTGGGTGCACTGATCAGTCTTCCAAAGTAAACAGTGCAGCATTACTATAATCTAAACAGACCAGAGCAGTTTAGGCCAGTGAACATTTCAGCAACTGTTTCATCTTTTCTGATACTGTTTACATTTTGATAAAGAAGAAATGTTTCCTTTCCATCTATGAGTCAGAATCTTGTCTTGTGGTTGTGGATAAGCGTATGATTATTATTAGTTCAGTATTATATGCTCTGGCAGCAATGCAATACTGAATTTAAACATCTTTTGAAAAAAAGACTTGGAATTATTGAGATATACTTTTTTCTCCATATTTGGCTATTTTATTACTTGGGTAAACCGGTTTAAGATCCCCCATCCCCCCTCCTCTCTACACCCCCACCACTGGAAATTTCCTTTCTGACAAATATATTGACTCATTCACGTTTCATCTTTCCTTAGAAGATGGTGGCCTGGTCATGTTTGAATAGCGCAAATATATTTAATATAACGAAACAAATATATAACTTTTTTTTTAAACGAAAAGAAAAAAATAGTTTTGAGTTGATGTAATAGGTTACCCTGGGGGCTATCTAGTTTAATATCAAACAAAAATATTATTTTGCAGTAAGCGAAAGTTTGTATTTTTAAGATATGAAGGAAAATTAATGTCTCTCAGAGGCCTTCCCCTCTTGGGAGAAAAGAAGCACCTTTTACAAGATTTTACATAAATTTATAATAAATTATCAATTACAGTTTAAATATCCTGTAAACGATACTTAAGCATATTTTTTTTTACATATTATGTTGATAATCCAAAAAATATTCTAAAAGAAAATAGGGGCGTTTTACTCCAGTTTACAATTTGAGGAACAAACCTCAAAGGGTAGAATCACCTGGTTCTTGGCCAATGAGGGTCCCCAGAAAAACGCCAACTTTTATCATTTATTATTGGCTAAAGCAGCAGGACCGAGCAAAGCCACTCTCCTCTAGGCTACAACTTCATAGAAGAGCTGTCACGGCTCGCCAAGCCACCGGTGACAAACTGCTGATTAGGGTAACCAACATTAATCAGCGTAACAACGCGAGCAGGCAGAGGTCTGAAAAAAGCTGTCTTTATCAAAATGACCACCGCATGAATGAAATGACCTGCCCACCCTCTCACACCCACGCACACCATGAAGCCTATACACTCGTGAGTGTTTCATTAGAGAGAGAGAGAGAGAATAAAAAAGAGAAAGCAAAAAAGCTCCCTGAAACAAGGTCTCTGCAAACCAGAACATCAATTGATCGAAACAGGATTACAAGAGCTGTAGCCTACTTACATGAGCTGTGTCGGAAACTGCGATGCCCAACAACCGTCCTGCCACAGCAGGAACAGAAACACCCAGGCTCGTACCCCGCAGGAATCCATTGTAAAAAAAAAAAGAGGGGAAATTCCCCGATGGACGTCAATATAGAATCTGCTCCACTCCCCTCTACCGCCGCTGAATGAAACGACGGGCGAAAGCAGCGCGTGTAGCCGCCTGTCGCTCCCTCACAGATTAACGAACACTGACACCTCTAATCTGATCACTCGGCCATCCAGCGCTCTAACAGGTACTGGATCTGAATGCGATGCCAGACTCTCTCTCGCTATCGCTATCTCTCTCTCTCACTCACTCACTCACTCATTCACTCTCTCGTTCTCGCTGTTCCCGCTCTTTTTGTCTGTCCCTTAATTAACCGGATGCAATTATGACAAACAGTAGTTGTGTAGGCAATAAAAGGAAAAGGTATAATTATGGTGTCACAAATGATTACTAAAAAGCATAACTTTAATTGGTGCTTTTAATCATTAGTTATCGTTAATCTCTGGCTCTCTTTCACAGTGTGTTTTTGTCCTGTCTCTCTTTCTCCCCTTTAACAGGTTTCTTCCTGTTAAAAGGGAGTTTTTCCTTACCGCTGTTGCCAAGTGCTTGCTCAGTTTGACTGTTTTTCTGAATTATTGTATTAGGGTCTCTGGTTTACACAATAAAGCACTATATAGATAAAGTGAATTGAATTGAGTTGAACTGAAATGAATAACTTTTGTGGTCTTTTGAAATAAATTTTGATAACTTTTGTTTTTCTTCAAACAGGCACCATGTGTGCTTGCTCTCAGGTGGGCAGCTTAAGTAGCAAATATGTAATTTTTCTGTTCTTTTTATAACATCAGTCAGAAAAACAAAACAATGGAAGGGACTAACTGGCATACCACCCACACAACATATGCAGTCAAATATATACAGGTTCAGGGCTTTCTCTTTAAAATACTTCAAAACCTCTCATCATTGCCTACAATGTGGAGATAGGGGAGAATTTACTGCCTTTGACTGCACAATCTTTACCAGTTATGCTAGACAGCAAGCAGACTAACTGTCCCACATGAGAATGAATGAGAATACTAGGCTGGCAGCTGCATTGATTTCACACATATAGTGCACGAGTGAAATTACCAGCAAAGTACAGTATTAGAGCCCAATAAATCTCAGTACTATCCATCATGTTTTATAAAATTGCATTTCTAAAGATGTGCTGCACATCGCATCGAATTTTAAAAGTTGCAATATAAATTCAAAGTCTGGCACAACTGCAGTAGTAATGTTTTTGTTGATATTTTAAGTTATTAGTATCATCACCCTGTGAATAATTGAATAATTAAAGCAAAACCATAAAACCTAGTCTATCAAAGTGCCTGTGTGTGCTTGTGCATGTGTCTGTTTGTACATGTGTGTGTGTGTGTAATTCAAGCCTGGAGGGAGGGCAGGGCGGCACAAGCACGGTGCTTGGGGATTTGGTTATCAATTGTTGCTTGGCAACCACACACCATCTCTCTTGTCCTCTCACCCTCCCCTCCTCCCATTTCCCCCTTTCTCTCTTTGTTTCTCCCTCCCCACCTATCCATTGCTCTTACTGTACTACACTGTTGCGCTGACCCTTCAGTTTTTCCACTGTTCTCATCCTTCACACCTTGTGACATCACCTTTCCCAAATTCTCCCCCTACACCTTTTTCCACCCTCATTTCTCCTAAGAGAGGAAAAGAAGCAGATGTGCCTGATGATGGGATAGGAACGAATAGTGAGAACTGGACAGGAGAAAAGAGCACAGAGAGGGAGAAGGAGATGGAGAGATGGTGGCCTCTTCTGCAGACAATCCCATTCAGTACTTCAAGGATCTTGCAGTGCACCCTGAAAAGGAGTCACTGCTACATACCTTCTCATATAGTCTAAGAAATGATCATTGGAAAAAGACCAGAATAAAATCTTCTGGCATCAGTCAGACAGGCCGTAGAAGTCAGTTTTTCTCTATCCGTGTACTAATGTACTGTATTCCATATAATGTAGTTAGATGATTAGATTGATTAACATATATTCCGTAACAGGAATACATACAATAAATAATTTGCCTTAAAATGTATTTTTGTATGGGCTTTTCCTTACTCCATATGAGGAATTTACTGAAAATATCTGCACAGAGTACAGAATATTTATTTTGAATATTAACCTCAAAGTTAATACTGACATCCAAGAGCAACCTGGAGATTTATATAATGAGTATAAGTGAATAATGTGTTGAACCATAATTGGTTAAAGAGCAGCTGTATTGGGTTTATTTGACAGAGGATACTGCCACCTATAGGTAATCTACAAAAATTACTGGAAACATTAAAGAACAAACCAGCTTCAATACAGTCTTTGTTTTTCTCTCTCCTGTCTTTCTTTTCTTTTTTCTGCATCTATGCAGTAGCGTGCCGATATCATAACGGCTGTGTTTAATATATGTGTTCATACCCATGCACATTTAAATTTGAACATAGATGTAGTATCTGACCACCTGGGAGAACATTATGATGCATTTCATCAATTACATTCCGTCATTTAATTAAGTGAACAGCTAAATGATACACTGGATCTTGATAAATGAACTATTCAAAATGGAAATATTTACGTATGTAATGTAATTTAGTGAGAAATAACGAAGAAAGATAAAGTGAAATAAATGCAATCTTAGTTTTAATATCTGTTCAAACATGAGGAAAGCCAGTGGATGGGTGAATAGACACATTTAAAATATTTAAAAACAATTATTTTGACCTCACTAAAAAAATTATGAAAAAAAAAAAGCAAAAGCAGGTTCATTCGGCTAAATGACATATTTATAATAATACAATTCATAATAAGTTAAACTAATAATTAAAATAATGATTAAAATAATGAAATAAAATAACTCAAAAATATATACTCCTCTGTACTGTTTCAGTATTATTATAAAAAAAATAACCTTGTATAAGAAAAACATTATATAAGGTTATTTTTCTAGCTTTCTGAATTGTATTTACTTCATTTTGTAAATGAGTAATTCTATATTTCTATTTGCAGAGTAAAACTAAATTGGAGTTTGTTTCCTAAGACCTATTTACTCATAGTCTTCTTTCAACTTTGAAATTCTTGATGGTCATGACCCAAGAACATATTTCTTTTGTACCATGACTGAGACTCATTCTTAGAATGGTTCAGGTGTTATTGAAGGGCAAGATCAGAGAGGCTAAGAACAATTACAGTAGAAAGCTGGAGTGGAAACTCCAGCAGAACAGCATGAGAGAGGTGTGGAGTGGCATGAAGACAATCACTGGATTCAGTCCATTCAACAGCAGAGGAGCTGGGAGCAGTGAGGACAGAGCCAATGAGTTGAATGTGTTTTTCAGCAGATTTGACACTGCAGTGAATGCTCTCCCCCTAGTGACTTACCTGTAGTCAGCCTGCAACCCACATTCTCTTCAAACTCCTGTGGAAGTCCTGACACCCCTTCCCCCCTTTGTCACTTTCACTCATGACCAGGTTCAGAGACAAATGAGAAGACTCCGCTCAGGCAAGTTTGCTGGTCCAGACAGGGTGTGGCCCTATGTCCTCATGGCCTGTGCCCCCAGGTTTGTGGAGTCTTTCATAAACTGTTCAGGATGAATCTAAGTCTTTGGAGGGTCCCAGTGGTGTGGACGATGTCATGTCTCATTCCTGTACCAAAGACACCATGTCCCAATGGCCCCCAAGGTTACAGGCCTGTGGCACTGACCTTCCATGTCATGAAAACCCTGGAAAGACTCATCCTTTCCCGTCCCCAACCTATTGTCAGGCCACGTCAGGATACCTTTCAGGTCTCATACCAGCCTTGCCTCAGAGCTGAGGATGCCATCATCTACCAGCTCAGTTCTGTCTATGCACATCTGGACCAGCTGGCAAGCACTATAGCCCCTTTTCCATTAGTACCTACTCAATTGACTCAGCATGGTTTTCAGGGTTTTCCATTAGGTCATAGTACCTGGTACCAGGTACTTTTTTAGTACCTGCTTGCCTGAGTTTCAAAGCAATCCGAGCAGGTACTAAAATGTGACATCGTCAGACTGCGTGCCACCAATTGGCTGGTCAGTAGCATCTCTCAATGAGTCATAAGGTCATAAGGTCAATGCTGGACAGTACCTCCCACCCACTCCATGACGTGCTGGCCAATCACAGAAGCACGTTCAGTGAGAGATGGAGAATACCCAAATCCATAACTGAACCACACAGGAAATCAGTGCTGCCTGATGTGGCTACAACTCCTCCGTCTAATGCATAATACACAGTGCAATAGTCACACCCTTTTGCACATGTAGAGTGAAAATGAGAAATAACAAATGATAAAGTTTTACAGTATACAGTTTAGAGTAAAATGTCCATCATATATTTATCTTTTTTTGTAACTTTATTATACTGTTTTATTTAATTTAATCAGTTACTGTACTGTCTTGGAGCAGCTGCAACCACATCATTTCCTAAGGGATTCATAAAGTATTCCAATTTTAGAGCTGCAGTCTATGATACCAAGTGGCTCATCCCCAGATGTTAACGTGAGTCAATTCTGCCTCACAGTGACCATGCCTTGAAATTACAGCCAAATAAAGGATAGGAGGCTCTACCAAAGCCATTCATCATCCCAGTTCCAGCTTCTGCTGACATAGTAATAAGTTATGTAAAATATGCAATCACCAAATATTTAGCTAATGTTAAAGCTGTGTAGATGGTGATAATATTTTCAACTCCTAAGAAAAGAGAGAATTTAAATAAATAAATTTAACAAACGAAAAAATAGACACAAAACTCGTATCTGTTTGATGAGAATAAACCACAATGGGATGTTGAAAATAGGTCTACATCATAATCACAAGCACGGCAAATTGGTACAGCGATTATGTGTTCCACTCCAAACTCACTTCTACTAAACAATTTTTAAAGAATCACGGTGCCTTTTTTAAATTGTTTTTGGCACTAGGATGTCAGTTTGTGCATACTTAATGTAGGTTTTTCTTTCAAGACCAAGTTTGCAGTGTCCACATGGAGCAGACGGTCAGAAGTTGAATTCACGTGTCCGTAGGCACGTCTAATTAACAAATAATGATTAAGCTGCTCCAAACACAGAAAACGAGTTTGTTCCTTAAAATAATTAACAGAGCAAGGTCTATTATCACTTTAAAAAGTTATTTTTTAAGTAATAATAAAGAAAGCTGTTAACAAAACAAAGCTCAACTCCAAATGTGCAATATAACTCTTCTTAATATTTATTCTTTTAGACTCAGGGGAAACGCTGATTTTTTTTACAGCACGATTTGCATATCTCAACACATCCTGTGTACAACCACAAAACCATAACAGTATATGTTTTGTTTTTACACTGAGTGAAAAACAAGACAATTTTACAAGCATATTTCTTTACACTCAGCATACAGATAAATCTATACATATTCTCTCTCTTTTTAAACGTAATCTTTAGGCAAAATATACCGACAAACCATCAACAAAACATGCAACATCCAAAACATAAAGTTTTAGACAACTATTGAAGTTGAGTAGATTTTTTTTTCCCCCTTTGTGTTGTTTCAGCAGTTTACGGGACGTAGTTGCACACATAGTCATTGGTTGACAGCACAGGTTTTGATTACACAGTCAACTCCCCTTTTACAGCTATAGACATGAACTGCTGTACAATTATATGTCTTTTGTGATTTTTTTTTTTCAACACTCACATGCTCAGACTTTGGACAATATAAACATTCAATCTTTGTAGAAAATAAACACTTTATGTACACATGTCAAACAACTTGAGTCACATTCACACCCCTCAGAACAACAACAAATGAATGGATTCACGATTACAGGCAACAGCTGATCTAAACAAACAGTATTTAGCTTGGGTGAAGTCTAATGAAACACAGGGGTTGAACAGTCAAGGCTGAGCATTGAGATAATATGTCTTATTTACTGTACTGTGTACACAAACTTTTTTAAGTACACTGAGAGCATGATGCAGTTTAGAGTGATATTTATCCCCCCCCCACATTGTGCATTACGTTTAGGAACCCCAGTGTGTCTTCATGTTTTTTCTTTTTCCACATAGATACAAAATGCACACCACAATATTTCCTGCCATCACATACACCATGACTCAGTTCATTTCAGTGCATAAACACAAAACACGTAATCCCGCATGTCATGATGGAACAAATGAGACAACGCAATAATAAAGTGCACAAGATCCATGTAGATGTTAACAGCCGTTAACGTCAATATATATTAAAATCAGTAAAAAAATCAGAGTATTTCATATTTTCTTTCATCGATGTACAAATTAAAGTTATTTTCTTACAGTTATTTTGAGAACATATGTTCACAGTTAAAACATTTTAATTCCAAAAACACAAATGCATTCAAACGTATATGTTGCATAGAATTACTTCAAATGAAACAATGGATCTGGAATGTAAAAAAGAAATATAACTGTTAAGAATTTAAACATAAATCACGGTTGGCACAACAAAATAATTGTCAGCATTGAAAAATTAACCTTGTTTTCTTCCTCACTATACTCTCTTTTTTGTTTGCTTGTTTGTTTTACTTTGTAATTATTATAGGCGATAAGTGACATCTTGCTCTATGTTTGTAGTCTCCAGTGATATATTATAAATAGTTGCATTGGCTTTGTGATGTGCCTAAACACACTAACAGTAGTTCTGAGGGTCAATTTTTCATTCTGTACAGGTAAAGGTGACAAAACATTGTAAGACGAATACAGATAAATACATGGGTCACCTACTCACACCTTAGTACTGAGACTAGGCCCCATGCTTTCATTTGATCCTATACATCACTGTACGCCAGTGGGCCTGAGTGTTTTGGTTGCAGGCAGTGAAAGAGGCTGGTTCAATGTGTTGTAATGGGAGTCACTGACACAAAATAGTTAAGTGTTTTACAGTACAGCCAGACACACAAAAGAACCTTGACGTTTGAATGGTAAAGCATTTTTTTTTCTTCCTTTTGAAATAATTTTCAGGGAAAACTCAGACCAGAGGGACTTACTAACACAGAGACAGCAGGGCTGTCATACTGAAGTAATGACAGTTGCAGATCTACAGAGGATTTTGACACATATTGTATGAATTACATGTCTGACGATGGACTACACAGAAGGAAATATTAGCAAAATCTGAGCCACTATAACAATCTTAAAGCAAAATGTTGTACACTTGAGACGGATGTGTGAAACTCACCTTCCACAGTTGTAACATTCAACACAGCAGATGCTGTTCATTGTTAATTTAAACTTTAATTCTAATCTTTCCTAACAATATCATGCTAGTAAAATAGTAATCAGCCACTAGAGGTTGTCATTGACCTTGGATTTTATTTTTATTCTGTCACAGCCCTGTTCGATATAGTGGTGCATTAGTGTGATCAGAGAACCAAGGGAGCTACTGAACATGATTATTAACATCCTTGAGCTCACATAGGTCCACATTCACATAATAGTTATTGTGACTGCCTACACCATAGATTACTGGATTGTCAGTGCGCCACTCACAGCCTCAATCTAACAAGTCTGTATCTGTCCCATATTATATATATTTGTATATATAATCTAGTGACAAGAGAACAACTCTTATACTGTATATTATATTTAGATATATTCTGCATCTGATATCTGTGTATACTATATAAACGTCACACTGTACAATGTGATTCTCTGATATGCTCTTATATTTGCATGTGGGATATCTACAATCAGAAGTGCTGTACATTTAATCCTCATCCCACAGCAAAGGTCAACTGTCTGACTCAGGCCTACATAAGCTCTTTATTGTGTTTTTTTTTCCTTTTTCAATGAAACTGAAAGAATATTGTACAAAAAATGTATGCATTTCTTCATCAGTTAATATTCCAAGACCACTTAAATCCACACACATCACGATCGTAGCACAACCACGTCTCTCATATGAAGGAAATAAAATGAATTCCATGATTCTGTTTTTCATCTTTCCCTTTGTTAGATATGTTTGTTCAGTAGTGCAGAATCACATCTCGGCGTCTCATGTGGATTATGGAAATAGAACTGTGGTAAGAAAGACGTCACTGCCCTCAAAGCCATATTGCTGCTGAGTGTCTATCAGTGCCAGCTTTTTATGTTTGCATGTTAAATCCAAAACCAGCAGAGACTTGAAATGGGAAGAGGTGGAAATGTGCTGGCAGTGTTGGACTGATATAATTGCAATGTTAGTAGCACATAATAAACCTTTATTTTATGATTTATAAACCGAAGCAACGAATTAAAGGAATCTTTTTTCTTTGCTCTTATTCTCATTCTCTTATTCATTTTTTTTGTCACATCTCTGAACTATGCACTTTGCATTTAGTGTTGGCTGATCTGCTGCATCTGGATCTTTTTGGTGTGGTGTTCAGGGGTTGGTCTGAGTGGAACTGACGAACAGCTTGTGCCAGCTGACCACTCTCTTCCTCATGTCCACCTTGTCAAGCCAGATGTAGGCTTCACCTATCAAGGTTTTCTTCATGAACTTCCCTCCATTAGACACCAAGAAAAGCTGGGAATGCATGAGAAAGACAAAGAGAATTTGTCAGTAAGTTATCTATATGTGCTTTGCCAGCTCAAAAAGTGCATGTTATTCAGTATGATTATTAATAGTTGCAAGCAGATTGTTACAAGTATATCTATAAGTCTAAAATTTAATGCATTTTATAGACCTGGAAATTTTAGAGCCCATATGAGCTATTTACAGCTTTTAATCACGTTGTAAGTACCAGAGGGAACTCTGCAACTTCCCTATGTTTGGAACACTACAAACACGGCCTTATGGCCGCACCTGCAGCCACACACCTCTGCAGTTGGGCTGTGTTATATATTGAAGTGCTGATTGGGCCATACCAAGTGCAGCTCTTGCCACCCATAGATGTGCATAAGTGACTTGTTTAGCCTTCTGCTGGGTATTTTTGATTTGAAGTAATTATTAAACTAAGTGTTGCTTTGTTTGTTTGGTGTTAGATAATTTGTTAGGATTTGTGTTCCCCTTATGTATCAACTTGGCCTGATCAGCCAGTATTTAAGTCCCCTTTGGTTCTGCTGAGTAGTTAATCTGGAGATATGTCAAGTTGCTGTTTTTGGATTAAGTTTTTTTCTATTCATTTGACTTCTTTTAAAGGCCCTGTATTATTAGTTCATTTTGTATTTTTGTATTTTTTATTTTTTTTTACAATTTTGGGGGGTAAACCCACTTTTTTCTAAATACTCACTGTGTCCTCGTGCTTAACCAGCCTAGTCTCTCACTCATCGCAACAAAAAAAGTTGGGAAGAGTGTAAACTAGTCATCCACAACTGGTTGTAATAATAAAATAAGATTATTTTTAAACAACACTCTCATATTATGGGATATTTATGACTCCTTGTCAATACGCATAACAAATATTAGGGAAATCTATTTATGTTTTGTGTGTCTGAAAGAAAAAAAACCCAATAGAATATTGCCAAGTATATTGGATTTTTAAATCACCAAATATTGGTATCAGTCATAAATAGCCTTTATTGTCCAGACTCTAACACAATCATGATTTATTAAGTTTTATTGACTCATCGTATTTGACAATTAGCAGGGGTCTGAAAGTTATTTAGGTGCCTGTTGTACACTACCTGTATGGAGTGTCCAGTTGGGTTTAGGGGGAATCTGAAGGTCTCATTGAAAGAAGGCTCTCTATCATGTCGACAAATTCTCGTCTTCTTCTTAATGATCCTCTTCTGGGTGGCCACATTCACCACATACAACTTCACATACAGATCTGGATGCAAGTTGGATAAATAATAATATGAATTCATAAAAAGAGGACTATTGAGATTAAAAAATCAAAATGCATGTACATCAGTACTGATTGGTTCCACACCTGGCAGGTGGTCTGGGCTTTTGAACTTGTAAGTGATGTTTCTGCACTGAAGGATCTCCAAGACCAGTTGGTCCCCTTCTGTTTTCACCTCCTTCTTGAGAGCAACCTTGATCTCCCCCATTACTTGTGTTTTACCAGCTAACACGAAACAGAAAGAGCAAAATCAAAATCACATCAGGGAATATATCGCCAAAGTTTCACGTGTATCTCACCAGTTCTACATGTCCTGAAATAATTAAGAATTTTACAAGACAAGCTGATTTAAACTTGGTAAATTAGTTGTCAGGCACCATGGAAATGACCTCCCGACCTTCATCATTGTAACAGCTGCCAGGCTATATCCTAAAATGACCCTCTGCTCTTTGTAACAAATTGAAACTAGAGAGGGAAGGGAGGCATCGTGACACCTGAGCTACATGAAATGTAGATATAACAGCAGTTGTGGGACAGCATGGCAACCACTTCTCTCAAGCCATGCAGTAAGTTATTATTCGGGTTAATATTGTTCATTGACAATAAGCACTTAGCTGACAATTTGACCTCGCAACTTAATAATGACATTAGCAACACCATTTAGAGGCAGTTAATTAGGTGGCTTGGTTACAAAGAAATTGAAAAAAAAAATACAACAAAACCACCATTGCACAAAACACTCAACAGGGGGAGCCCTCTGACCAAGAAAGCAAACATTTGAAAACGTGACATTTCTAGAGCTTGCCTTCATTTTCTGCAGTCTCAAGTTGGTTTTTGTCTGTGCCATTAGGAATAGTCTTACCGCTGTGAGAAAAAACAAAAAAAACAGAACAAATGAATTTATGAACACTGTTTTATACATTTAAAAGAGTATAACATGACATATACATTAACAACCGTTAATGCATAATATGCTTGCATGGAGCTACAAACAGTCTTACATCCGTGGCACTTGAAAAATGGCACTGTCCACTCCTGTGCCTGCTCCATCTTCACTATCCAGACCTCCATAAGCGTCTCCAACCAGGCTCGGGGCAGATAGTACCACTGACCCTGAAACATCACTCAGCCGGTGTCCTGGTCCTGTGGGTGGCAATACTGAGTGTGATACTGAGGAAATCAATCACTCAGTTTTTTCCTTCAAAATAAATGACTTGCATAAAAAACAAACAAACAGAGAATGTTAAACGACCCAGCTTTTACCACACATGCATGGGTGCCCAAGACATGTGCTGTATGTAACAAAACACACACCCAGCTATCACTCATTGACAGAGGCACTCTCCATCACACATAACTTTGACAACTTTGACTAAGCATCACATAACAGGGCATCACTGTAAATGTCAGCATCTCCTTGCATTTACGTAACAGTGCTGTGTAAAATCTCTGTAATACGAAGCAAATCCCTACATTAGAACTAAATGAAGGTCACTAAATTTAATGAAAAAAAACAAGATTAATTCACTGTAGGACATGGCATGGCAGTTTGTTCATACAATTAAATATTCTTTCTTGGCTCTGGCTGGTTTCTGTTATGCTTTTGCAGTAAGAAAGAACTTGGGAAAATATGTGAAGATTACTGTTGAAACACATTCGGTGACTTTCGGTGTATTTTTGAAAGATGATGTGTGACCACAATGTGTTTGAAGCACAGTCTGTTACTGAAATGCAATAATTACTCATTCTGTTCCTAATGAAAACAAAATCATTCGATAATAAAAGCGACACAAAATAAATATATAAATAATGAAATAATATATAAAATGAATATGTGCATTTCCAGACATTCATAGTGCTACATACAGAAAATAATTACAACAGAAATATCAATATTTACACATTCATTTATTTGGAAGGCTTAGTTTTAATTATTTAATTATAATAATTATTATTAGTAGTAGTTTTTTTAGTTGTTGATTAATATGATTTATTTATATATTTATAGAGTACATTTTTCCTATGTTGCCTCACCTTCCCTTGACATTTCTGCTTCCCTCATGGTTAGCTGACCGCTTTACACTCACTGGCTGGTGAGTGCAGCGTGAACCTCCTGTTGACTTTTGAAACCTCTTGGTGTTTCTGTGTTTCCAGGTTTGACTGGGTCATTTGTGCCCCCTTTGTTTTAGGTGGGAGGAATAGGGAAGGACTGTGCAGGGCGAGAAGACTGTGTGCCATACCTGTGTCTGCCTCTGTGTGTGCTTTTCTAGGGGTTAATTCTTGTGACACACACATGCACATACACAGCAATATTGCAGCTCCACAAAATATTCTGTGGCCAGGAAATAATAGCTAGGGAATCTACAGTTGCATGCGTATAAAAACCTCCAACAATGAGTTTACTTTCCTTTGTAAAGAAGTAGACCATTAGAGTTCATTTTGAGGATATCACATTGAGGATTATACACAGGTAATGGATGTTGTTTAAGTCACGTCAACACAGTAGAACATACAACATGTAAGGGATTGCCATCCTAGCTTGGTTTCTGTACTGGGGTTGGAGATCTCCACACCGGGGTTCTGTAGAAACCATATGCTTGGGATTGGCACATGCACACTCCATGTAGAAACAGAGGGGTCTGGATTTCTAATTTAGCTAATAATACTAATACTACAAGTTAAAATAATCCATTAATTATGTTTGTAGTTTCTTAAACTATTATCCCATTTAATTAACTATTTAAGATGCCCAAAGAGAAAACCAAAATATTAAACTGGTGAAAAATATCAGAAACAACACATAACAATTTAGTAAACTGAATGAGCCCCATCTCTAAAAATAAGATTTTAGAATTACATAGTGTATTAAATAGGATTTCACAGCAAGTTTATTTTTATTTGTGTACTTATTTGATTCTTTATCTGCCTTGCTTTTTGCTTAACAGTTATATTAATGAGATAGATCACTGTGACTTTGTGCTGGCAGAAAAGCAAGATGAGATGAGCAGAATGCAAGGTAAACTGTTAAGGAGATGAATGCAGAGCAATTCAAGGCTTTATCAAACAATCTCTACAAAGCTTGCATGCAAGGGGAAAAGGTGCATTTCGAAGGTGGTTTATCAGGGGTAGGGGAAGGATTTACTTGGTTGCAGGCAGGATTGTTGCACGGCAGCTTCAGCAGCAGCAATTGCTATTCCAGCATCCTCAAGGTGGGCCTGAGTGACACTGCTCTTGCTTTGGCTTCGGGAAGGGCCATGGGAACGTAGTTGGCCGTCGGAGGAAGACTTGGAACTGCCTGGGCTACTGTGTGACTTTTCCAAAGGCATCATTTGCATGTCTAAAGGAATATTAAATGAATGGTTACAAGTGCCAAAGAGAAAACTGCAAAATACAGTGGCTTGCAAGAGTATTCGGTTCAAGGGGGCCGGATACTTTTGCAAGACACTGTAAATAAACCAACCCCTCTCAGGTGCAAATAATATTTCACAGTCATCTGATTGTTCCATGCAGTACTGATATGTATGTATTTACAGTGTTCAAGGTATGGTTATGAATACCTGCCAAGAATATTAATATTATTTATTGCTTAAAACTACTTATATGGAATTAATTGATATTTAGCAATCATTAACTGTAAGAATGAGGTGATTCTTTACCTTTAGCTGGATCAGGAAAGATTCCATGGCTTCTGCTCTTGATTACAGAGTTTTTAGGTGAATCATGACTCCCATCTCCCTGCCCTGGTGCTAGACTCTGACCCATTCCATACCCCTGTCCAGAACCTGAAATGTGGCCCTGGCCCTGGCCATGTCCCTGACTTGACCCAGACCCTGACGGACCTTGGGCAGCATGGTGGGCTCTGCTGTGTTCAATGCTTTCACTCTGCTCTTTCAAAGGCAGCCAGCGAGGAGTGTTGTCCAGCTGGGTGGTATTTGACAAGTCAATCAGTACCTGAGTGACAATAAGAGAAAATAAAAGAGAGAAAGAGTGAGACAGTACAAAATAAATAGGAATTTAATATATATAGTTATAGAAGCCAAGTTTAAATTTGGTGTTTGTCTGACCAGAGAGTTAAGTTAAGAAACGCAGGTCCACCAATAAAACAATAAAAATAAACCAACATAAAATAAAATAAAATAGCAAAAACCACTTTAATGAGGTAAATTGGTAAAAAAGAAAAAGAAAAAGTGAGCTAAATTTCACATTGTCAGATGGCAGACTCGGCTTCACAAGTCACTTACTTCTCCAAGGAAGTCATTGGAGGAGGACCTGTCATAGTCCCACACTGTCACCTCCAGCGTTTTTTTCTTCAGCTTCAAAGAAAGAAAAAATAAGTAAAGAGAGGGTCACAGATTATGGTGAGGCGTTGAGGCGATCGTGCGAGGGAACAAAATGTGTGAGGTGTGAGCTTGTTTGTCTGTGCGAATGTGGGTGGATGAAGGACAAAAGAAACGAGCTCGTGTACACTGAATGAGTCGTGCCTAAATGAGTGCAGCCATGAATGCTAATGAGGGGGTAATTTAATCAGCAAGGAAATCACGAGTTGTTAAATGCATGTGTGCAAATACGTGGACGTGTATAGAAACACTCGGAAGCATGTTGGAGGACATAACATATACAGATATACTTATATAAGTATGCGCTGCAGATTTTTTTTTAAGGCTGTGGTAAGACGATGGTGGTGTCTGTCACAAACAACACAAGCAAACACAGATGGCTAAGAATAAACACAAGCAACCATATATACCTCTAGCAGTCACAGATGAGCACACATGGGCATGATTACCTAACACTCTTCTATTACTCTTTTTGCTAAAAAGGCATGCAGTTAAAGTGTCTGTATTGACACTGTAAGAGCAAGAATGTCGGTTGTTAACTTGAGGTTTGCTAGTGCTGATAAGAGGCTGCATGGAGGATACTGAAAACAGCCCGAGGGAGAGAGCATGAGGACGGAATTCTAAGTGTCGTATAAGACGCTGAGGCTTCCACATTGCCCAAAGTGGATCACAACAAATACAGTAACTACACAAGAGTGACTGTGGGAAGATGTTTGTGTGCATGTGCGTTTTAGTGTGGGACAGGAAGAGAGGGTCTGCACAGTACCTGCTCCAGATGAATGTTCTTGTAGATGACAGTCTGATTCCATTCTGGGTTCATGGTCTTCTGGGCATACTTGGTCCTTCTCTTGTTATCAGCACTGATAATTCATGACATTCAGAATGATTGGTTGTTAATAATACATTATTAAAAATCTCTCCACTGCTTGATCCCATGGCAACATTCACAAAACTGCAATGCTCAGTAAATGGGCTGAATAGATGCTGCTTGGAAAATGGTCAATATCCTTATTTGGAGGCACCAGAAAGATTGCAAACAAACTGAAATATTTTTGTTAATTGTCTGCTCTGAGTAAGATGCTTTTAAATTTTTTTTTCAAATGAGTACAGAGATAGAAGCTGAGGAGAGTTCAAAGTCAGAGGCATGGAGAGAAAATGTAATGGCAGAAGTGCTCTTAAACATTGTGAAATAGAGCAGATAATTGGACGAACAACAAAGGCCACAATAAAAGGATGGAAAACCACTTTGGATGGGTAAATTACACAAATAAAAACATAACACCAACTAAAAACAAAGATCAGCACCACACTACCTTGCATTCTGGACAACCATGACTTGGCTGAGGGAGTCCAGAAGAGGAAGAGGAGGGCATATATCACAAACAAGAAAAGCAAAAATACAAAATAACAGTCAGAGAAGCTCAAAGAGCTCAAAGAAAAGGCAGTAAAGGATAGAGAGCTGAGGCAATCAATATTCTCTTGAGGGTAAATCACTGTTTTTGTGCCTACACAGTAGATATGACTCAAGACCAAAAAGCCTCACAGTGAATACTGGCTCACAGGTGAATGAGAAATTCACTACTCTGACCTTTTGTTGAGACACTGCGGCTGTGAACTCTTTTGCTAATGTCAGACAGATGCATTTCAAATATATTCTTGCAATAAAGCAGCAGTACAAAGGTGCTCTCAACGAGCTTACATTTTTAACCTATACAGCGTGTAGGTTGAGGGAGAGAGCGCATAATCTAATAAACAGGCCTGATGGAGGCATTATCTAAGAGCAGATATTGTTACAAGGGAGATAATGGCTGCATCGATCCTCTCTCTTGCTATTCACAAGCTCTTAGGAAGACAGTGGAGTCGACACCGATAAGAAGGAGTCTCACCTAGGGACAAAACCAAAGCACTCACTTTAGCCAAAAGTAGAAAGAGTAAGAACATGAGGTTGACCATGTGGACTCTCTGTTGCCAGCTAATTTGATACATTATAATGCAGCAATTTGGAAAAAGGCCGCCTCTTACAGCTTTATGTAAAGTCTAACACAACTCACTTTATTTATTTATAGACTAAAGCAAATCGAATCAAATTACTGCAGAAATGACTGCCTCATATCATCATGTCCTATACCATTTTCTCACACAAACTTAAGACGTTAGTCAGTGGGATACAGCAAAGTCAGTACAAAGTCAGGAAAAAAAAAACAGGGAGAGAGAAAACAAAACAGACACAAAGGCAGAAAAGCAGACACAGAACACATATTAGTTAGCACTAAAATGCTAAAAGCTCACCCTCTCCCAGGTAAAAGGTAGACCTTCACAAAAGGGTCAGAGTAGCCATCATTATCCCTTTGGGCCAGGTTTCTAGCTTGCAGGACGTGGACAATAAGATTTCCTAGATTTCTGTCATAGTTGATCTGGAGCTGTTTGAAACAGAGTGTAGAGGAGGCTCTATGAGAGAAACTACAGGGGTCCATCTTTATGTTGTTGGGGGTAAATAGTGATATTTTCTTAATGTTTGTTTGCATGTGTGTGTGTTTTAACCTGAATTTCTCCTGTGATGGGATGAGGCATCTTCATCATCTCTGTTTGCTAAAAAAAATAGAACAAAAACAGAGAGGTCAGGAGGTGGAGTGGTTCTAGATTGATAGTTTAATGATTTGGCAAACAAATTTGTCTGGCCCACAATAACAGACTTTAGCCATTAACCTGGGATTAAGTTGAAGTATATATTAATAGAGTACTGGTGAAAGAGGTGCCCTTGTAGAATAGATATTAACATTTTTCATTGAACGTATGCACGTTGTGGGGGACACTGACTATCTGATCGGTGTGTTAGAAAGGAAAGTCTGTCGGTGTAGTGTGACACCATTAGTTAGTTTAGTCAGACATCTCGTGTTCAAAATGAGTTCTTTATTGCAGCATCAGACTGCGAATTTGGGGTTTGATAGGTAATTATCCCCCTTGACCCTACATGCGGATGCTAGGATGGTCGAAGCAGCCAGCTGCTCTGTGCAGAGGGAGAGACGAGAAACCCAGACTCTTAAATAGAATGCCCAGATGAGAGGTTGTGTTTGGTATATGATTTAAGGAGAATGTTTCATTTGTCTGATGCAGTGCAGCTCGAGTTGCCTGGCTGAACTTGCCTGCGGTCTTCACTTCATTTATTTAAAGCAAACACATTTCACAGAAATGTCAACAAAAGACTAATTTGAATAAGAATGTGTGTGAGGTAAGCCACTAAAAAGAATTTTAATGGATGAAATCCATTACCTTGTGTCGCTGCTTCTTGCTTATTGCAGGGGATGCAGGCTGGCCAGGGCTTGGCACCCCACTGGAGGCAGCCGATCCAGTACCAGAGTGGAGGAGGGCAGAGCGCTCTAGTGCAGACAGGACCCCCAATCCCCCAGCTCCTACTCCAGCCATACAAGGTGCTTGCTGCTGGGACACCTTCTGCAATTCTGCAGCTAACTGCTTAGGATCCACACCGGGGGAACGCTGTCCACCTACAGAGACGAGTGTATATAGTGACTCACATTTTATTTATGTCAAACATGTACGCAGGCGCATGCACGCATGCAGACGTAGCAACAAATTCTCGTACATACCAGCCTTAAGCTGGACATGGTGCTCCAGGGCTTGTGGGTGCTCAGGGTCAGACAGCATGTTTAGGTCGCTGTTTGGATCCATACAGGGAATTTATAATGGAATAACAACCAGTGCGTTGTAGGAGTAATCAGTCACAGAGTGGATATTTGGCAGATGAAGGGGTGTGGGACGAACAGAAGGGGAAGGAAAGACGAGAGAAGGTGTTCATGGCTGCAGAGTCACCATTTTGTGACTAAACATGTAGGAGTTTCAGTGGGATAGAGGGATAAATGGTGACAGATGTTACTCACAGTCTCACACAAAGCTCCGCCTCTGCACATGTCTGGCCCATAATAGACTGCACTTCCTCATAAGTCTTTCCCGTTAGAGGGACTCCATTCCACTCCAACACCTGCATTCCTGTAATACGATGAAGGCCAGCATGCAAAATGAGTGACTACCCCTCATCTCTATACATGAAACGTGTTAGAACAGAGAGTGCAGTTTTCATGCTCACAGAACAATAGTAATAGCAAACAGCTCTTCAACTGAATTAACTCTGTCTTCATTCTTCTTTATTCTCAGTTGGGTTTATGCATTGGCTTTGTTCCATTGTTGGAACAACACCCAGCACAAAAGCAAGAAAGAAGAGTTTTGCCGATGATTATATTAGATGTTTTGTTTCTCACAAAGAATAATGTAGAAAAAATAGCATATTAGAAGTAAAAACACAGCAACAGCACAAGAAATAACCACTAATATTCGCATATTTATGATGTAATACACAAAACAAATCACAGCAAACTCAATTTTTCCACCCAGGGCCAAAGAAATATGAGGCCTCACTTACACAACTGAAACCTGGTCTTCAGATTAGACTTCTGCTTACGAAGCAACTCACCAGCTGCTGTGACAATAAAGGCTCACATTAATAAGTGCGTATCCTCATGCATGAGCCAGTATTTCTTCTTAGATTATTCCCTCTGTTCTCTGTGTATAATCTGTATCCTCCCCCACTTTATTTCACACTGCACCTAAAGGCATGTTCTGCTGCCAGTTTCTTTCAACAGAACATAAACATATGCATAGCATACAGCACACGCTTGAAAGTAAACCAGCCAACCTACTGTCTTGCCTTTTTAAAAAAAAATTTTTTTCTTGTTCAGCAAGACAAAAAGGGAGTAAGCTATATCAGAATTAAATGGAATAAGAAGCTAGAACCAATTATCTCATTAAAACTACTGGTGGAACTGCAATCAGTACTCAGGCGCTTCTCTTTCTAAACAAAGATTAGAGCATCAATTATTTGAAATTCCAGAAACTACAAGAACAAATTGAGCAGGGATTGTTGCATGGTAATTCACTGTGTGTGTGTGCGTGTGTTTATCTGTGCTTGCCTGTCTATCTGTATCTGTATGTTTACAGGGACGCTAAATATAGTCTAATGACTAACACAGCCCACTGATGTGGAGGGTGTGTTTGCGCGTGATGTGTTGAGGAAAGACACATGACAAACCAACACACAGTAGGCTACAGCCGCCTGTCACAACTCCATCTGGAGTGATTTAGGCATGAATTTTTACTGAAGGCGTAAACGGCCCTAAAATCATCAACACTTAAAAAGCACTGTGATCATGACTCTCCTGAGCCTTGAGAATCTTTTTCATTCTGCTCTTACCCTCCACAACTTTCCCCGTTTGTTCTGCCACCCCACCAGGGATGACCTTGGCAATGTACGCTCCGATCTCTCCACAACTCCCTGGAATCTCCTTACCACCTACCACACGGATGCCAAGTCCATTACCTAAACGGTAAAAATAGGGATACAAATCCTAATTACAAAAACAGAAATAGACAATCTTTGTGATTTTTTTATGGTTGTACGATAACTGTATGTCTGCATTTTGTAATAGTTTTATACCTGACACACTGGAGTCCTTCATGTCTCTCTTAAGCTTGATGCGAGTGTGAGGGAAGGCATAAGGCACGAGTTTCATCTGAAAATTCACAGGATTAAAAGAAGCATGTTTGTAAGCAGAAAACATTCCGGGTTTACATATTAAAACCAAAAATAAACATCGAGTGGAAAAAAAAGGGACCAAGCTGAATATTATTAGCTTGAATCGCACCTGTCTCCTGTCTGAAACACTCCCGCTCTGAGGATGCCCTTCTCTTGGCTTATCAAACCAATCTGTGTCCTCTCTTCTCAGGTGGTAGGCTAGACAAGGAAAGGATCGCATTAAAATCTATGCATGAAAATAGGGACTAGAAGCTTTCAGCATAGAATCAAGCAATCTCTTTTTTTGTATTTAAGAATAATTGTCACACATCCACCCAGATTTTCTAAAAGGCAGGAAGATCTCTGATCTGTCCTGACTGGATAGGTGAAAGCAAAGAAACAGAAACTCTGCTCCATCCTATCCACAAGTGTGAGATCAGATGGCTACTAAAAATACTAAATGGTGTATGAATAATTTCAAGTTTGATAAAAATTGATATGCTTTAAATGTTTGGAACGTTTTATTTTCTATGTATTATTTTACAGCACTGTGTACTGGAAGTCTCCCCCAAACCATCTTCATTTATAAGTAACGACTGGAAGATACTGACAGTCTCGTGCTCTATTTTACCATCACAATTCTAAATCATACCTTTAAGAGCAAAAATAATCAAAATATTGAAAGCTATAGTAATATCTCAACTTTGAAATACTGTTTTGGTGTTAAATGTAAAAGAATCCAAACAAAGATAGAATTTTCTATGTATTGGCGAGCCAAGCCCACAAACAGAAAATAGACTGCTACATATCTTGTAAATATCTTGAAAGCATTAGATCTTGAACAAATCGGTATATGATGGCAGCATTGGTTTTCAGAATTCTATAGAAGATCTTAAAATACTTTGTGCTGTGAATCTGCATGTTTTTGGTAACACTTATGCACAACACACATTTATTTTAGTGCATGGACATGAATACTGGAAATGGGTCTGATATGTTTACAAAACCACAGTGCAAACATTCCTGAATGACACATAAATTAAGTCTCTGCAGTGTATGACACATAAAAGATATCGAGTGTCATTAAGATGGGGTTCATACCAGCATGGAACTGACATGTCAACTACAAGAGTCACTAAATGATATGTATTGTATACGATTGTGAGGTGGGTCATTCCAGAATGAATCTGGTATGTTTACAAACTCAGCCAGAGAAGTGAACCATTCATGATATGCGGCATGGAGGCATACAGTCTCTAAGTAACTACATGAGAATTGCGATGCCGTCTCACCTTCTATATTCCAGTTTGGGCCTCCAGCTGTGGTACAAAGTTATATATGTTTTTAAGAAATTTGTTCAACATATGTTCATTCTTCTATCAAGCTACAGGAAGTAGAGTGCTAAGACTAAGATTTGTACTGCAAGTAGGCTAAAATTCAGCACATGCATTAAAAGCAATAGTAGGAGATGCATGCTTTACTGCATTTACTAGCCTGACAGACAGATCACAAATTTAAGCAGAAGCACTATGAAAAAACCCCCCAAACAAAACATATAAGATGTTTCTTTAGGAGGGAAAGCCATATCAAGATTGAGCCACATTATCATGAGAGGCAGTAACTTTAACTATGCTGTAAGATACTCTACCGTGTCTGATACTTTCATGAAAGATTCTGGCATCATCTCTGTTCAAAGCCAACATGGACTCACTTTGTGCTGCAATTGAGGCAGATGAACACTTTTATGTAAGGTCAAGACAAATGCTTCTGTCTCAACAAGAATGTATTTACATTGATTCCTCAAAATTGGCCTTGAAACAAAGCTAAAGTTGCGGAAGATATTCTTGTTCGTTGGCACTATCTGACAATTACATCAGACCCTGTGCTTTTTAATGCTACTTCATATACAAGATACTTACCAAATAAAAGATAAATAATTATAAAGGCACTGGATTTACCTAAACTAATGGAACACTACCAGTCCCATTCTTATGGAAATGGAAACAGTGCATGTCAATATCTGCTGTGAATCACCGGGGAACACAGACATCTCACACCACAAGGAGACATCCACAGCAACAACCAACAAGCAGAAAACATTAATTTTATTAAGATGAAAATGGAAAACAGATGTACATGCAAGGATGAAAATAAGACCAGATTAGAAACTGAAAGATTACAGAATCAACGCTTAACACAGTTGACACAATTTTCTTTAAGTATACACAACAACATCGGCTTTATAGAAAGCTACTGCATTACATCTTTTTTGATCTATATAAACCATCCATTTGGAAATGTCTAAATTGGCCTGGCACTGGCTTAGCAATTTAGTTAGAATGAAACAAAAATACCTGTAGAATCTGCAGAACATGTATATCACCATGATTCAGCAGTACTCTTTTAAACTTACTGCTGTTGTTTTCGAGCAAAACTAAAGGAAGAACCTTAAAAATGTATGTATTTCTTTTTCTATAAGTTTTCTGTGCCACTGAAAAAGGGCTCCAGTGTAGGCTGTTCAATATTGCTCAGATTTTTAATGAAATTTATACAAAAAATAAGGCAGCTGCATTGTGAGCAGTATGTTTGCTTAGCATATCTCTTTGTAGTTCATAAACAGATAACATAGATTCTAGAGAGGATCTAATTTAACATTTTTAGAACTGTTTGGGTCTAAGAATAAGGAAGGACATTGAATAAATTAAACTGAAAAAAACAAACAAACATCAAGCTGATGAAATGACACAGAAAAGCATGGATAGACGTGGCATACATAAACAAAGAGTGTTATGTATCGCTGACCACGATAATTAAAAGAAAGGAAAAATCATGCAAAATTATGACTTTACATTTATCGTGACAGAGGGAAATATTGTAACAGACAACAATAATTATCTGGAGCACTGATAACTGAGAAAGAAACAGTTAATCCAGAAAGTCAATATGACCACTCAGTATTAGCATGCATGATAAGCACGTCGATATGGTCAAATTGTTGAAGCAGTCTTAGGCTCCATTTACCTTCACTGTCAGACATGGCACCTTGCAAGTCATCCATGATGAATGCGATGTCTCGATCATAGCCACGAGTCCGAGATTCCTCTCTCATATGTTGCTGTACCTCTGGGAGGGAATGGCTTGACCCAAATTGGTCCCTGGAGTCAGCAGAAATGGGAGGGAGAGGACCAGCTGAAGCTCTAGCCATACCCATTGGTTGCCCCACTGGACTCAGAGGACTTTCCTCCTCTGAGTTCTGAGCAACAATGGGGATGCGTCCACGGCTTTGGCTTATAGGTAAACTAGTGGGTTTTGCTCTGGCTACCCCAGGGGCAAACGCTGCATCTAGAACCTCTCCCTCTGATTTAAGTCTTAATGAAGAACTGGACAGATCCCGTTTAATAGATAGATCCAAACCATAGACTGAAGAGGGTCGGGAGGAGGGGCGAGAACGGGTACCACTTGGGTAGGTGCCATCATCATGGGCAGTTGCCCTGATAGTAGAGCCAAGTCCAAGAGACTGACCAAGATTAAGAGAACCAGACAGGTTGGCCCCTAAGGAGGAGCCTAAATATTTTTGTTGCTCAGACAAGTTTTTTCTTAGCCCAAATGTAATCTCATCCTGAAGTAGCCTAGCTCTAGCAGCCAGACTGGACACAGAGGACGCTCCAGATCCCATGTAGCTACCATATTCAGGCTCAAGGTCCCTACTCTCCTGAATTGGGGAAAATTTTGTGATGGCCTTAGGGTCTATAAGGGCCTTTTTGTTCTTCATCTGTTTCTGGTAAAGCATAGCCGCTGGGAGTTGTTTTGCAGCCTGTTTTTCAAGGGTGAGCCTGCCAATGCTATATTTCTCTCCTTTAGGGAAATGGCGAAAATTGCTGTCACTGGGGAGATATTGTGGTAAGCCCAGACCAGTCAAGTGTTCGAGTCCCTCAGTTCCTCGTCGGAATTCTTGCTTGATCTGCTGCTTCAGTAGCTTCAGCTCATAAGGTTCTTCCATAGTATCATCTTCTCCTTTGCCATAACTCTGAAGCCGAGATGAGCCTAAAAATTCTGCCACCTAAACGGAAAAAATAGATAAAATTATACGCCACATGTTAAGTGTTATTGTGTAATTGTTCAAAACACTGAAGTGTTTTGAACAATTAAAAGGGCTATATCAGTCACACTGTTTTCTACATTCATGCAAGCCTAATAAAATAAAACTGGAGAATCAGAACTTCAAATTGTTGAATCGCTTTTTTAAATGAAAGAGCCAACACCAAGAAACACTAACATTCTGAGCTATTAGCATTTGTCTGAGGAGAAAAAGGTAGCAAAAACTAGAAACTAAGTTAACAGTATGGGATTTACCTCTGCTGTGCGCCTGAGTCTGTCTGCCTTGGACATCTCCTTATCAGGCAAGTTGAATCCAGAACCCAAGCCAGTATTGCTCAGCCCTGTTGACGCCTTGGTGAGCTCCCCTATGTCTTCTATCAGCACATAATTCCTGGCATTATGGTGGTCAATATCAGCATAGAAAGAATCAGCAGAAATGCTAGACATGGGACTAGAGGCCATGCTCCTCTCCTCAAGTCCTAACCTCAAGTCCAAGCTTCCATACTTGCCCCCTAGGTGAGCCACTCCATATCCACTTTCTGTGGAAGTTGGCACAATGAGCAGTGGCTGGTTGCGTATCACCTCATAGTTAGTGGTGATTTTGGGCTCTAAATCAGACAGGTTTGTTTGTCGCTGCTTCCCCTGCTGCAAGAGCAGAGCATGTTGGTAGCTGCCTGGCTGAGTCTGGGCATGGGAGAGGGACATGGTTGGGTAAGGAGACACCTGTTGGTGGTAAAGTGATTGTTGCTGATACATGTTCTGTTGGGTGTAGTGGCTAGTGGTTTGGGTCTGGGGAACATACTGGCCATAGTGAGAGTAGGGACTAGTTAGTGTGTTGTACTGGGAATCAGCTTCTGTCTGTGGGGGGATGAATTGCTCAAATTCCGACTGGGGAGCTGTCCGTGGTCTCTCAAGACCATCACCTCTGGTCTCTCTGATGTTGCTGACCTCACTGTCAGACATGTAGTCTCGCTCCTCTGCCACACCCTGAAGATAGGCTCTTTCTCTCTTCTCTCTTTCTTTCAGCAAGGCCTCCTTACGACGGTTGATACCCATCTCCAAGTACCTTGAATAAATAAATGAAATAAATATATATATATATATTTTTTTACAATTTTAGTACTCAAAAGTTCTAATAAAAACCAGGGGAGGTGGCAAACAATATTCTGTTTTCTCACACATTAATACCTGTTACTATGTGTGAGTGTTGAGAAGTCTCATTGAGAGATGTCAAGGCAGCCTTTTTGCCCATAAGCTATCAAGGTAAGAAGGGAATCATGCAGACGAATTAGGAAGATTGATGGCATGAGATGCAATGACTGATGCAGTGGAGTTAGCTTGAATCATTTTCTGAGGTATTAGTTATTTATTAATTTAATACAGTAATACAAGTATAGGTAACTTTATATCCTAAACTGCGATGATTTTAAAAAAATTAAATGTGTCTCACCGTAGCTTGGCATCAATCTCTTTTTCTTCTTCATCTAACTCAGCCTGTTTCTTTCGAAGTTTAGAAGATTCTCTCTCCACTAGATCGAGCTCCTTGTCAATGTCCTGCAGGATCTTTGCCCGGGCCATAGTTGTACTACGAGCTAGACGGCGTCGAGCAGAGTTGGTGCTGTAGCCTGACCGTCCTGAGAGGGAGTCATCTTCAGGAGGGGGATCTGGCAGTGTTCTCTTTACCTTCTTACCTGTACTAGAGGGAGAGCCTCGGCTCTAGAATAAAAACAATCAAACAATCAGTTTGTCAATTCAGACTACTATATGACGGCTCATATTTTTCCATTCATATGTGATATGACTTACAGAATAGCTGTCTGCATAGTATCCACCCATCCTGTCTTCTGTGGAAGGACTAAGGGACTTAGGGTCAGATAGAGATTTTTGACCAGCCTTCAATATCCGAGGACCAGAAGAAAATCTGGTTGGGTCTGCAGTCAACATTCTCTGTCCTCCAAGTGACTTTTCTGGGGACAGTGGGGAAACTGTAGTATAGAAGGTTTTGGACTTAGCGGGGATGTCTGCTGAGAGGTGTGTGCTGTAGCCCACCTCAGTGGGAGCATGTCTTCTGTCTGAGTCTGTCTGACAGCTCAGACTTCCACCTCTCTGAGAGTTCTCTGGAGCTGATATATGTTTAATGATTTCTACTTTTGTGTCCATCTGGACATTAGGTCGCTTGATAGTTCCAGAGTGATCAGTCTGGACAGATATCTCTGCCACTGTCTGGATAGCAATGCTAGAGACCTTGGAGCCATGTTTTCCATCACTGCTATGCTTTCGAGAGCGTCGCCGAGCTTTTGTTGGAGCATCCCATTCATCTTGGTCTTCATCGTCAGTCTGAGCTGAGCTATCAATGTTTCTTTTATTTTTCTTTCTCCTTCCAACGTGTTGTTTCTCTGCTGAGTCTTCATCATCTGTCTGCACCCCACTATCAATTATTTTTTTCCCTATGTCCTGATCAGCTTGAAGCTTTACTAAATCTTGACTTTCCTCTATGTGTGTCCCAGCAGATGGAGTCGTAGACTCATCTCTGACTGGCCAGTACTGGCCACTGTCTCCTACACCTGCATATTTAGCATCTAGAAGATTTCCAGTGGGACCAGTACTACCATAGTGCTCGTCTAGCTGCCGCTGGAGTTGCAGTTGGAGCTGCTGAATTTGCTGCAACTGCTCTTTCTGCTGTGCATAGGTCTCCTGTTGAGCCACCATGTGGGCATGATGCTCCTCTTCTTGCTGAAGGAGAAGCTGCTGTTTCAGAGCCTGAAGTTCCTCAAGCTCCCTTTGGACCATAAGCTGTTCCTGTTCTCGATATCGCTGGATTTCTTGCCTTTCCCATTCCAGCTCTTCTGCAAGACATAGTTGCTTAAGCTTCTCTAGCTCTAGAAATTCCCTCTCCATCTGATACTGGGCCATTTTGGTGTTATCTAAGCCAGGGAATATTGGAGAAGAAGCTAGGGCATCCAGAGAAGCAGCAATAGCTTCCAGGGTGGCATCAGAGTACATCTCTGGATAGCCAGTTATGATGTCAGCCAAAGCTGTAGGTAGAAAATCTTTAGATAGCCCAGAGTCAAAAGGAATTATCTGTCCAGGGTCTGTAGTGGGGATAAAGCCATATGGGTGTGGTAATGGCTGGCTGTGGACTATTGATGTGGGTGTTAAGGTTGTGCTAAAGACAGAACCTGGCTGAGTCGTAATTGCATATGTGGATGGAACTGGGGCAGCAACAGAGGAGTAAACTATTCCATCTGATGTCCTTAGAGCACTATTTACACCAAACCCAGCTGCAGGGATCTGGGAGTATTGAGCAGTAGTCATCAAAGGGTAGACTCCAGTCGTTTTGCTAGTGTAGTCTAGTGCTTTACCTGTTGTAATAAAATATATATTTTATTCTTCTAAAAAACTTTTATTAAAAAAAACCCCAAATGAGTCATGCAATTTGGATAAAAAAAAAACTGCACATGCATATCTGAAGTCATTTTGGCTAGCAAGATGCAAAACCAAAATACTGAGGGAGCACACGTAGGCAAACACATGCATCTGTATGAAAAAACGGAAAAGAAAAGAAAAACAGGTTAATATTTAAGGAAATCATGCATATTAAACAGCAAAGCAAATTAAATAATTTCCAAAAAAGTTAAGGAGATCATGCAACCTATAAATAAAAAACAGAAGATTTAATCATATAAAAGATTTTATTAGAGAAGTGTAGAAAATATATAAAATACTGGTGATTTTTTTTTTTCAAACAAAATGTTTCCAAAATGCTTCTTTGCTTGAAATCGAATTTTAGTTGGTAATCACTTCAGGGAATTTTATGTTAATTTTATTATGTGCTAAAGGGTGACGGGTCTTGCCTTCAGGCAGCAGGCTTGGACTCTTTGTAATATGTACAGAATTTTCCATTATCTTGCTGATATAACCAAGCTTCTCACTGACAGAATCATTGTTCAGCATTAATGGTGCCTCGAAGAAATTAAGTTTTCCATGCTATGTGCATCAGTGGAACCTATAACTATTCAGATTGTCATGTGTCTGCTGAAAACAAGCCAGGTGGTCAATGGCTGCTTTAGCCTAGAGTACACAACATCTTCAGGAGACAGAAACACTCTCTACTTTTAAGATTAGGCTTACTTTTCTTTTTGATAAAGCATATAGTTAGGGCTGAATCTTCCCTTAGTTACGGTGCAATGTCTAGGCTGCTAGGGGCTTCCCATGATGCATTGAGTGTCTTTCTTTACTCATCTTTTTACTCACCATGTGTCTATACACATTAGTTATTATTAATCTCTTTCTCGCTTGACCCCCCAGTGATCAGGATAGATGGCTGCCTCTCCCTCAACCTGGTTCTGCTGCAGATTTCTTCCTGTTAAAAGACAGTTTTTCCTTCCCACTGACGCGCTTGCTTATAGATATTCATATAATTGTTTGGGTTTTCTCTGTTTTCTCTGTATTATTGTCTTTACCTTACAATATAAAGCACTTGGAGGTAACTATTGTGATTTGGCGCTATATAAGTATAATAAAATGGAACTGAATCTATGAATCAAAATATTTTTTTAATTTGTGAAATTACAGAACACATCTTTGTATGTTCTTTGTCTATTTCTGTCTTAAAGATAAAGGGCATTTATTGTCAATTTTTCTCAAATTATCAGAATCTTCTAATGATATTATATACCACAGTTGGTAGAGTTATCTTTTTTACCCTGATTGAATAATAATTTTCCTAATTTGTTATGAGATATTCCTCAAACTATGTCCTTCCAGCTTTTATAAAGCATGTTGCTGGCATTAAATTTAAAATTGGCATATATGCAGTGCTGGTGAGTAACGGAATACATGTACCGGCGTTACGTATTTAAAATACAAAATATGAGTAACTGTATTCTGTTACAGTTACCGTTTAAAAAGGTGGTATTCAGAATACAGTTACTTTGTTGAATTAAAGGGATTACACGGCGATCTTTTCCTGTTTCATACGTTATGTTGTCCCCTCTCTATTTGTGGTAATTCCACCCTGGTGGAAACCCAAACGAAACACGTATTAAGAGGCTCTAATTCCTCTGTCTCAATCTCGCAGCCCATGTCACCCCTACTTGCAGCCCGTATAATGATGCGGCGAAATATTTTAAAAAGTTATATAATGTGAAGGCAATAGGCAGAGTGTTACAGGCATAGCCCTAAAGAATGTAGCCTCATGGGCAGTGTAGCCCAGTTGTAAGTAAGCTATTAACTGTAAACTGTGTTTGTGTTTTTCTCCATTGGAGCAACCTTTCAGCGCCTCCCTCTGTCTCTCACTAACAAAGTTGACCCAGACAACAAAGTAAAGCTAGTGTCCTAACTTTTTTGGAAACAGTATGCAAGCAAACATGAAATAATAAACTTCCAGGAAAAATAAGTATGTTTATCTTCAGAAAGAACTGAACTGTAAAAACATACTATATGTCATGCAGAGGCATTTTAAAAGCTTGATTCAAGCCAATGGAAGCCCACTCCCCCCTCTCAAAAAAAGAAAACACGGAAGTAAAAAAGACAAATCATGCAGAAGTACTCTCATACTCACCAGCAGAAAGTTTAGCTGCAGTGAGGTCTATAGCGCCATCTGAAGAGCCACTGAGGTAGTCATAGTCACTTTTAGGAACCATGGAAAACAGTCCTGCCTCTGTCAAGTTGGTTTCAGACACTGATGCTTTTATGCCATTAGTTCCTTTGATACTATACAGTCCAGCATTATCATATTGATAGTGGTCATCTCTGTAGCCAAAACGGTTATCAGGTTGGCTTGTAACTGGAGGCTGTGTTCTGCATGATCCCGTGAATGGTAGCTTGTAAATTACATCACAGCAAACACTATGCCTTCCTGCTGTAAGGTCCATTGGGGTCCCTTCATCCTCTACAACAGTGGTCACCACTCCTGGACTTGTACCAGACAATGCTACCACAGCTCTCATTGGTTTGTAGTTTGTCAGATCCATGGCCTCTGTGGCCTCTAGAGAAAGGACAGGCCCTCCATTGCTGAGAAGTGTGGGGACTGACGTCAATGGCTGTTTTGCTCCAGAGGACACAAGAGCTTCAAAGGAAAGATTAATTGGTATATCTTGAGCTGTGGATGCTACAGCACTCAGCATGGGTTGGGTGCTAACAGGTCTGTATACGATCTGTGCTAAGGGCTCAAATGGTTTGTATGTTGTGAGGGATAGTGGCAATGATGTAACGGGGCCTTGCAAATCAAGCGGTTTCTCTGCTGGAGTGTTGCTATATGAAGCAATAGTAGCTGTGCATGTGACAATTGTGATGCTGTCAGTGACAACAGACAGTGTGGTTGCTGGGGTAATTGCTGGACTAAGATTTACTATCTCCGGCTGTACTGCTGTAATTTGACGGCCACTAGAGTCACTTGAAAAAGACTGTCGACTTGATTCAGGCGGAGTCAGGTCCATGCCTTGCGCAGTCATCTTTATACCAACCTTCATTGTACGTAAATCAATAACATCACCAGGATATATTTTACCATTCTGTTTGGGTACAGGTTGGACTTTAGCAATGTCTGGTTGTATAGTTATTGCTACACTAGGTGGAGGGACCTGTGGAAGTCTTTCATGGACAACAGAAACAGTGGTCCTCTGGACCTCAGTGGTAACTACTTGAGTAACTAGGCTAGGAAGGCTTTCAGGTGGCTGGCCTGAGGTGGAAATTGAAGCTGAATACATATGGCTCATACTAGAGACCACCTTTTCTGCTCCTCTTATCTCCTGGCTTTCAATAGACTCTTGCTGAATTTTAGTGATGGTGACTGGAGAAACATTCTGTGGAATGTCTTGCACTGTGGGCCGTGAGGTCCTCGCGGTGTATTCCTCAGTGGTTATTAGCTCCACAGGGTGATCATATTCTGATGAATAAGTCAATGCATGTGGTTGGCGTTCTGGAATAGATTCTCTTCTGTAGGGGAGCTGAACAGCATAACCATCATTAGAAACATCTTTTTCAGCTGGCAGGTTTACTACCTGTGCTAATTGGTATGGTTGCTGCATGGTTATGGATTCTCTTCTGGTGGCAGCAAAGGCTTCAGCTGTAACCACTTGTCTGGGCATTTCATACTCTGTAGGACAAGTAAATCTTTCAGTTGTGGCATATGTTGGCTGTACTATGGAAGATATGGATGTCCTCCTCTTATGGGTGGTTTCCTCAGTTGTCATAACTGGCATTCCAGGCCCAGCCTGAGGTTGTATCATGGATGATGATATTGAAGAAGCTATGAGATCAGCATCCTTAGTTATAATTTGTGAAGGAGGCTCAAATTGAGGTTGCAATGCCAGTGGTGGCACTGAATGTGTCATAACTGAGGATGTTATTCCTTCACAGACCTTTGGAATATATATATGAGGAGGTATATTTGGATGTGTAACTATGTGTTCAACTTCCATGATAAGAGGTGATGGTGTTTCCTCAGCAGCTGTAGGAGATATCTTCTTATCGTCTATAGTTAATGGCATTAACTCAACAGGGGTAATTTCACTTACCACAGGTTGATGATGCGGTAATGGATGTACCATTGCTATCTCTGGTATTCTAACAGCTGCATCAGTTGTAATAACTTCTGTGAGTACATCAGACTTGGTAGGGAGGAAAACCCCTTCAGCTACAAGAAGTGGTTGCTGAGTAGGCAGATGTTCTGTCACTGCAGGCAGAACTTCTGAAGGTTGAATAGTTTGTAGAACAGGTGAGGGTTCAGAAATGGTCCAGCTATAGTTAAGACCTGTGGCCAATTCTTGATCTTTCGAATGAGTCATTGCTTCAGATACTGTAAGTGGATGCTCAACAGGGATTTGCTGAACACCTGGTATCAGTGATCTTAATGAAATTGCTTCTGCAACAACGACATCAGTAGGTACATCCTCGTCTGTATGTGGCATTTCAATTTGGGCTGCAGCTTGTGCATCAAAAACAGTTGCAGATGGTCTATCTTGGGCTACAGGTTTGTCAAAAGATACTCCAGGCTGCAATGAAGTAGAAAAAACTTCAATCAGAGGCTCTGGCTGGAGAGGTATGGTTGGTTTGGGAGCCTGAGGAACCAGTGCTTCACTTAAACTTTCTGATGGAACTGTTATGATCTCTGTAATTGTGGCTTGGACTGGATGAATGAGAATTTTTGGCTCTGGGGACACTGTGATGACCTCAGACAGTGTTTTAGGTTGTGACAGTGGTGGAGTCATTGATTGCTCCTGGTGCACAAATGGTTTCTTAATTGGAAAAGGCACAGTATGTGCTTGGACAGAAGTTTCCTGGGCTAATGGCAATGTTACGATATCAACTACAGGAAGCGATGACAGCATTACAGATGGCATAGTGTCTGTTTTAGCTTGGACTTCAGAAACTACTACCTCAGAAGTTGTCATTTGTTCAGGGACAGCTGAAGCTACAGATATTGGAGGTGGATGCCTTACAGTAGGGACCGAGGCTCTCCTTACTGTAGCCTGTGCTGAGAATACTTCAATGGGTGCTTTCTGCTCTGATGGTGTTGTCCGTATTCCTGACACTTTTGTGGAAGGGATGGACCCTCTTCTTACAGGTGCTTGGACAGTTATGGACTCTGTTGGTGAACCAGGTTCTGATGGAAGCGTTATCACTACATAGGTTTGTAAACATTTCGCATGTCTAGGAGATACAGGTGATTTAGGAGATGTTGCACCCAACTTAGACTCCACAGGTCTTGTCAGACTAAGTGATAGAGCCTTTGGAGGTTCTTTTGTCCTGGGGAGGGTTGCCGCTTTGGGAGCTACAGGAGGTGGCTTGACACTCTCTCCTGGTTTATGACTGAAAACCAGTCCAGCTGGAATTGATACAGGTTTAGGTGGTATGGGTGGAGGAGGCTTGGTAGTCTGACTAGGAATAGAAGCTGCAGAAAGAACTGGTGTGAAATTTGCTTTAGCAGTTGTCACTGGAGTGGGAACTGATTGCTTTGGAACAGTTGGTTTGGGTAAAGTGGATGGAGGTGTTGGACTAGAAACTGTAATGGGTACTTCTACTGTGTCTATAACTTTAGGTGAAATGGGTGGAGCTACAACTTCCTGCACTGTTGCCACCTTAGTAGGAAGTGAAGATATATCTGTACTGCACACATCTGAAGCAGAATGTGGGGCTACTTGGCTACCATATGGAGCAGAAGCAATGAAAGATATTGGCCCTTTGCTAGGTATACCTTGGTTTCTGGCTTGTTCAATCAAAGCTTTGTTCTCTACACTGGGGACAATGATAACTACATGCCCCTGTCTATTTGGTGTTACTAACTGAGGTACAACTCCACCATCTGATTTCATGGCTTCCATTCTTGGTTGGATATCCACAACAACAGATTGCATTGGCTGTCCAACAGCTGTGGTTCCCATAGGTGATGTAGTCCGAGTGGCATGCTCAACAGGTTTTACAAAAGGAACATCTTTATTAGTTTCAGGTAATGATACCGAAGTAGATCGAGGGGGAGGAGGAGGCGGGACCTTCTTTTTGACTATAGTAGTTGAAGCTGTTGCTGCTGAAGGCATCTGGGCGGTTTGAGCCAGAGGTGGGACTACCACTGGACTGACTGATGGGATGGCTGATTGTACAGGGACTGAGTGTACCACTTTAGTTTCAGCTTGAGCTGGGGTAGTAACAAGTGGTGAGACTGGTAATGGGGGATGTGTTGGTATGGGAGCTGTGGTTGAAACCAGGTCAGGCATCTGCACTATGACTGGTTCAGGACATGAAACTAGAGTGACAGAAGTGGAAAGACTGGCAGATGTTGGAGCCGAGACTGCAACAGGTCGGGCTGCTACTAGGGTTGTAGAATGAATGGAGACAACAGAAGGTGCTGGACTTGGTGCTGAGACCTGTGAAATAGCTGGAATGTTGTCAGGAACCTGAGATGGAGATGAAACCAAGTCTGGCATTTGTACCACAACAGGTGATGCAGTTATGGCTTCTACTGTAGAAGTCTGAACTTGAATGGCTGTAGCTGTTTGCACTTTGGATGGATCAGACACAACATCTGGTATTGTAACTATAACTGTAACTGGAGAAGAAGAGACTGAGTTTTCATTAGATTGTACTCCTGCATCTGTGGCAGGCAGTGGTGAGGAGATCTCTGGAGGTGATTGTGTTTTAAATGAAGCAGAAGGTGTTGGTGTAGACAGTGGAGTTGAATCTGATGAAAGAGGTGTTTGAGCCTGGAATGGAGATGAAGATGTAGCATTAGAGGCCAAACTGGAATCTGCACTAGCTGGTGAGGTTGGAGGTGACACTGGTGATACAGGAGAAGGTGTTGTAGTTAGTTCTGGAGCTGATATTGGAGTTGGAATAGGTTTTGGCTCTGGAATTTCACAGACTACACATATAGGATCCATCTCAACAGTTTCAGACAAAGATGGGCTTATGCATGGTTCTTCTTTGGTCTCAGAGTCATCACTGGGGGTAATGTCAGAGGAAATACCAATGCCATAGTCATCTGCAAGACTGTCATCCTCTTCTTCCCCAGATGAACACTGAGTAATCTTGAGGTCTGGTATAGGGAACAATGCTTTCCTTAATGCAGGATCTTGTTGAATCATAGGCCTAACAAAACTTATAGCCCCACTAGGAGTACTAGGGACAACAGTTATGTCAGGACGCTTTGGGGGCTCAGAAGGGCGTGGAGGGGCTGGTCGCTTCTTTTTCTTTGCTGACATGTCACTTAAAGTTTCAGTTTCTGTAAGAGGCATTTCAAGTTTTTCAGTTGGGTATGTCTCTTCTATAGTCACTACACAAGTTTCAGCAAATGAGGGAGGGCAAGTGACCTGTGAAGCGCTTGAGGCAGAAGATTCCATGGCATTTTGTGCCTGCTGAAATTCATGCTCTATCATCATTAACTCTCTCTTCTTTTGCATCATCTCCTCATAAACCTCCTCAGGAGACCTGAGTTTTTTGAGAGAATCAGAGCCAGTATCATTTTTGGGTTCTTCCCGAGATTCACTCATTTTAATTTCAGGTTCCTCAACTAAGGATTCATAAAGATAGTCCTCTATTGCCATCCCCCCATAGAGTGGCTCAATATCAGGTGGACTGTCTCCTGGAATAGCTTTAGTCTTCTGAATAATTTCCTCGTATGCTTCTTCTGCACTCTTTAATGATTTTGTCACACTGTCCTTTTCTATAAATGGATCAGAAAGGGTGTATGGTATGACTGTTGGTGAAGGTTTACGTCCTCTCTGTACAGCTTGAGTGGCTTCTGATTCTGATTCTATACTGGCAGAATACTCCGAGCCAGATGTTCTATGAGTTTCCTTTATAACTGTGACTTCTTTCAGATCCTCTGTGGAGGAAGAATCTTTGTGTGGGGACAGTAGTTGTCCATGGGGTCCCATCTTCTCTTCCTCAGAGGAGTCTTCGATGGTAGGAAGAGGCTGAGTTGGTTGCCTGTGCTTACCTTTGCGATACTGTTTGTCCCCACTGGGTTTCCTGCGACTAGGGCTGCTATCACTATCCTCTTCCAGGGAGGAGGCTGATGTAGGTGAAGATTCTGGAGTAAAACTGGATGCTTGAACACTAGATGAACCCTTTGACACAGATTCTGTGATGCTTTCTATTTCTTCATCTGTGCTTTGTCTTTGTCTCATGACTGGAATTGCTTTCTTGAAAGTAGTTCTGGGTAATGTTTCAGGCACGCTTTGAGCAGTCATGCTGTCAGTTTTTGGGACTGCTTTGTTCCTGGCTGGGCTGTCTTCATTATCTGTGCTACCTTTTCTAGAAAGTGGTTTGACTGTCACCAATGTATTATCAAGGTCAGTATCCTTTATAGCTTGTACATTCTCCAAATTCTTTTCTTTCTCATCTTCTGATACAGACATTTCTTCTTCATCACCCATACCCATTATCTGCTTGCGGATGAACTCTTCGTCTTCCACAGAGGAGTCAGCACTCTCAGTTTTGATGTCCTCACTGCTGGATGAAATATTGCTCACCTTTAGTTTCCTTCTCTGGACTTTAGGTGATGGTGAGGGTGTGAGTTCACTTTCACTGCTTTCATCCATTGCTTGGAAACTCAGACGCCTTCTTTTAGCATTTATCTGCTCCTTTGCTGGTATAGAAGAATCTGCACCATCTTTGCTTGCACCACTCACTATTTCATCATTCAATTCATGTAATATGGGTAAAATCTGAGGTTGCTCTTCATCATGACCCTCTGGTTTGGATTTGGGCTTAGTAGCTGTTACAGGGACATCTGTAGGCACCTCCGCAGTGGAAAGAGAGTCTTTTCGTTTCTTACTGAGCTCTTTGTCTTCATCTTCATCCTAAAATTATGAAAAGGAAGACATATCAGTGTGCCTGTGATTACATTTCTTTAATAAATGAAGTTGACTCTTAATGCTGTGGAACCCAAGATCTGTCATGAGCTAACTTACTGCAGAAGACACACCAACAAGCTTAACAAGATTCTGTCCCCTTTTGAGTTAATCAGTGTAACCAAATGGAGCTGTAATGTACAAATTTCCATATTACTCCATATACTCATGAAAATGCCATCACTGATGTGAACAACTTTAACGTTCTTATAATTTGAAAGATAAAAGTCAAAGTTTTCAAGATTAGCAAAACAAGAGTTTGGAATCTGATGTGCTTTGAATATAAAAATACATCTAATCTTATACAGGTAAAGTATAGCCAAGACTAAAGAACAGAGAGAAAAGCTCTTGTTGTTTAATTTTTTATCTCTTTTAGATAATCTAGATTTTTTTTCAACAAACAGGATAAACTCTTACTTTTCTTTTTGGAGAGACTGGTTGCGACTCAATGGTTGAGAGGATGTTGGTAATTTTGTCAGCAGAGTCATCAGCAAATTCTTTGCTGTCAGTTACTGTGACTGCATCTCCTTCCATAACCACCTGCTGCTGTTCTTTTGACTCTGGTTGCACCATAATTTGCTGCAAAGATTTTGATGAGTCTGTCAGGATGGTGCGATCATCAGTGTCTACCACCTTAATAATCCTCTCTGCAACAGACAGGTCTTGTTTTGTCTGAGCCTCTGGAATAACTTGAGCTACTGCAACCTCTGGAGTGACAGGGGACGCAGAGACAACTGAAGCGTCAGGAACTGGAACTGAAGAAGGTTCAGCTACTCCTGCTTCAAATTCAACTTTATGAAGATCCGTTTTAGACTCTTCAGTTTTGCGTAATTTTGTCGTGCTGAAATCTGTTTTTGGTACCTCTTCTTTCTTGGTAACATCTGTATCTCGAACGTCAATCGTTGGTGTTACCTCTGTCAAAGGTTGCTTTAAAACCTCTTCTTTGGTGGGTAAAGGTGTCGTCTCAAGCTCAATATGTGTAGACGCTGCTGTAAGCATTGTTTCCATTTTGAGAGATGTTGAGTCTACATTTGCTTTTATGGTTGAAACTGTTGGTGCTGTCTCAACAGGCACGGGGGTGGGTTGTGATTTTGTGGGTCCAGGCCTGGTCTCTGACTTCGTTGAGGTGGTTTTGGGCTCTGCCTTTGTGGTTACTGGTGTGGCCTGGGTCTCTGACTTGGCAGGTGGAGGTGAAGGTTGAGGCATTTTTCCTGAGTCTCCCAGCTGTCCTGACAAAGCCCTCTGAGTTTGGCAGTTTAAACACAGCCATTCCTTCTGTAATCAAACAAAAACAACATAATTAGGAAACACATTAAGATAAAAAGTCACAATACCAAATGAGAGCTATTGTAATCAGGCTAATTATGGTCCTTATCCAAAGAATTTATTTGTTCAAAAAGATAACTGAAGCGTTATGCCAGAGTTGTAAAGTCATGAATGAATTAGCTTCTTTGTCATGCTTCACACCACTGCTTTTTCATTAGCTTCTGGACTAGTACCTGATGATATGTATATGGATGGCCCTGCATAATGATTTAAAATCTTGACTTAGAGCCTACTTAAATAAAGTATTATACCTTAAATTATTAGTAATAATTAAAATGAAACTGTCTGGAATTTATGACTAAATTAGTACTTGGTATTTAGGTGGGATGTCTCCATGTGTGTACCAATGCCACAGAAAAACAGCGCTCTAAAACCAAGCTAGCAGAACAAAGAAATTGTTGAGTAATTGTTTGGCTAGCCCATTGAGACATTACACAAAAAAAGGATATCTATTCTGTAATATATATAACTGTGCCTAACCAATTATTAGCCCATTACCTTCACTGTTTAAGAAAGGGAATTATATCGGCTCAAATAACAACAGACTAAATCTGAGCACTGACAACACTAAACTTTGTTACATGTCAGGTGCTCATTAAAATCCTGCATTAAGATCACAGTAAATTACCCCACTGTGTGCAGAACTCAGTTTTCTTGTGCATGCATTTTTTCTGCTTTCTGTTATGATGATACAGAATCTTGTGTTTTATATGTCATTTCATCCATACACATTCAAAAAAAAGAGTCCACGCTCAAAAGTAACCTGGCCAGGCTGAATTAGACAGAAAGGTTATTTTTCATACAAAGTGGAACTATTAAAGAAAAAGAAGGGCTTATGTAAGTTGAATCAGTATCAATCTCATTTTACAAAAGCCTCGCCTCAGACTTTATTTCTTTTTAAACTGCTTTCAGAAAGACAATTTGCTGAAAATAGTGCCAAATTACTTGAATGAGGCTGCTTTATGTCTTTACTGAAAGGAAAAGCAAAAACAAAGAAAAACACTGAAGAAAAACAACAAGCACAAAACAACAAAAAGAAAAAATACTTGAAGAACTCAGTCGTGTGATGTCTAGACTTTTTCCTGTTAAGTACGTTTGCAAGTAATAAAAGTTCCAAATTATGTGTTTTAGACTAAGACATGATAATTCCTGATGGTTTTCACATAGACAAATATTATAGTCAATACAATACAGTTTTGGATGCTGAGTAATACCATAGCACTCTAAGTGATCTAAATTCAGTAATCAGCTATCAATGCTGAAAAACAGACTTAGATTTTTAAACTTCTTAATAAAATAATATAAACATGCTCAGTACTGTTACAGTAGACCGTACATTACACATGAAACAGCAATAGAATGCTTACCTTGCAAAAAAGCTAATCTCATTTTATAAGGAATGCTATTACTTCAAAATGTACTCCTCTGAAGACATTTCCTATCCCATCTAAGCTCCATTAATGGACAGCTAAAGAGGACAAAAGCCATAAGCTGCCAATACATTAAGCACTGTGTCTGTACTAGCAACCTAGCAGACCAAATCACAGCAATGCGCCTGCCTCTGCAGAGTCAGGGAGAGCTGCTCTCATATAGGACAGAGGGGGAGTTTATAACACACACATATCCTGTGAAACACCACAAAGTTTTAATTACTTCATCCATGGTTTAATGTATTAGACCCATACTACTTATACTGTTTAGTGTATATACATTTAGAATATCATAATTATGCTAATACAGTGGTCATATATGCATAACAATGCCCATGTAATTCATAAACTAGTAACACAGTTACTTTGTTTTTTTCTCTTTCATTTTACTTGTGAAACTGAGCTTTTAAAATACCCCTCTTGTTTGTATATTTTGTCCCACTAAATTGTATAATTATTGCTTGTAACTTTCCAGAACTACCACTGAAGACTGATAGCGTACATCTACTGCAAATAGAGCATGCAAGGAAGTGTTTATATTCAGAAAGTGTAGGCAGCAGTAACACTGCAAGATGAATATGATAAACTGCATGAGCGTGTTTTGTTTCTAACTGAGAAATATTAATTGAAAACAAAATTACAGCCAGTGAGAACACATTAACATAATCTTTGATAAATAACGCCATAAAAAATGGGGAAAAAATGCTAGACTTAGAGGAAAATCTGATACTGATGCATTCAGTTTGCCTGACAGTGAGATGTTTTTGTTCAGTGAGTCGTGATTCAGTCAGGAGGATGATAATCCTATTTGTTACCAACAGTAACAAATAATACCTCATCAGCAGAGTGTATGATGCTGATAATTGTGTTAAACACAAAATGATTTGAGTCTCAGTTTCGTGTGATCTGATGCGAGTTCAGCATCAGTGATGTTTACCTTTGAAGTTGATCAAACACTAATTACCAGGAGGTTCATCTAAAACCCATATTTGCTGAGAACAATTCATCAAGAATACAGAATATGTGCTGAAAAACCTTTTAAGTCTAAAGGTTAGGGTTAGTTCAAGTATTCTAATATAATCCCAACATGTCCTTCCATGCTCCATATTCTTCTCTGTCTTGCTTACAAGATGTAATCACAGGTAAGGTGTAAGATGCTCTTCTTGCCTGTGTATGCTAATCAGCAATTTCATGTCACTACCAAGGCCATTCAGAGGATAAATTAATAATCATAAACTTCTGCTCTTCCTGTTTGTTTGATCATCTTGTAGACCCATTACAATATGGTCTGATGGGAGGCAGCTGATTATCTTTATAACTAATGTATACTAAAATGAATACAATTTTTCCTGTGTATAAACACCTGTGCCATTTGTCATTTTCAAGGAGATGAAATCGCAAGTAGTCATAAGCAATCTTAACTTTAGTTCGAAGATGGATATAAAATCAGATACATTTTACAATCATTGATTACAGGAGATGTTTACAGTTGTAATATTTCTGATATTCTATTAGTCAGCATCAATTTATTAGTTACCCTCTATGGATTGTCTTTAGTAAAGATAACTGCAAACTGAAATTAAAACATATTCACAACACAGAGGTTGTGACAAAGCTACTTGCCGACAATCTAATATGGTTCACGCCATCTTCAGGTAATAGTATTACACTGGTCTGAATCGTATTAATTGATCTTTTTCAACCGAAGTGATGAATGCATGTACTGACAAATTGCAGGAAGAACGTAAACAAAGCAACTCACTTTTGCATTGCGTATTAAATGGTGGACAAGGCAGCTGTGATAAACAAGTACACCCCTCACTGCACCAGTCTAGAACCTGATAAGTCATTTAACCTCCTAATGCAAAATCTGACAGCAAGGCAGAAAAAAAAGAACTTCCGTCAACAAAAAAGACCCTTCACATCCCCCACTAGCGCCAGTCACTGCTTCAGAGTCATGCATCAGAGCCACAGGGCTTGGAAAGTTGCCATCGTTCTTTTGTTTAATTAAATCTATTTTATGAGCAAAGAGCAGGAGCTTATAGCAGAGAGCTGTGGGAGAGACTGCTCCACACGATTAGCCTCTGAGCTGGATTATCAGACCTTGACAATGACAGCAGTAAGGAAAATAGGCTCTTGACACACAGGTATGCTGCATTAAGCTAGATCTGCTGAGCTTATGAAATCATTTCCCTGTTCAAATCACTTAAACAAAAAGACAAATAAATTATATATGTCATTCAAAATGTGAGATGTTAAAATACTTTTACTGTTATTTATGTATGTTAAATAAAAACATTTGCCAGATCTCTTCTGATAACTCTCAATGGATCCTCAGTACTCTTAGGTCGTCGTAGTGTTTGGGATGAAAAGTGACTGGTTCAGCAAAGACACATTAATCAAAGTGCTCCAAAGACCAAAAATGTTTTAGTCTTGCATTTTTAGACGAATGAAACAATTTTTTTATATTGTTTTAATAATGAATATTATTTGTCACTTCTTAGACACCTATCATAACTTATCGTGGTGGTGCTGAAATGTATCTTAACATAGCTAGATTCAAGGACTCACTATTTCTCAGCCTTTCTTCTGTGCTTTCCTGCTGATGTGTCGGATCTAGTAAGGCTCTTATTGATTTTCTGGCAAGCACCTTTAGCAAAGGCTGTAGCTTGCTAATATACTTGGCTTCCAGCAGCCCCCACAGAGCAGGGTTTCTCATAAATCACGCACTCTGATAATACAGAATGTTGACCTACTAATCTGTAATAACCACAGTGACTCACTCTAAAGACAATGAAATATGCCCATGCTTTTTCCATTGTGACAACTGGTGCATCAGCAAAGTTTCATTTGATGGCAGAGTGCAGTGGGGATAAAGACTGTTGTGGGACCAGTGGTAAGAGGGTGTTCCAGCATTAGAAGGAAATGTTACAAATTAAAGCTATAAGCTACAAACACAAATAGATGAATAGAATAATATTTTTTAAAGCAATGAATAAATGCAGGCACAGAATTACTGATACAGAAACATCAGTGTTTCCAAATTCCAAATATATTTTCTACGATTCTTGTTTATAGAAAAGAATTAAAGCATTTGAACTAAAGAAGCTCTTAGAAATGATCATGTATTAACATATAACCCCTAATCACTGTCAGTACAGGAGAGAGAACGCATCTTGAGATGATGTGGAATTTACAAGCATTTCATTCATGTTACTTATTATTCATTTCTATATTTATATTTAGATACTTTAAGCATTAATACAATTTTTAATTATTAACTAACTCTGTAAAATGAAGTAATAACAGGTTATGTAAGTACAATTTTGAGTATTTGCTTTGTAACATAGCACCAAGGAGTTAAACTCCCTCTATGTTTTGTAAACCAAGCCTTTCCTGTTCGGTGTTTTCATAGCTACTTTTACAAATTTAGTGAAAGTCCTTCCCTATAATTTGCAAGTCAGAGCAAAAAAAAAAAATGCTTACATCTGCTCTCTGTTTCACTGTGTGTTAGTGAATAACATACCAGCTAACACAATAGTAAACAACATCATCAGTTTACCTGCTCTAACATATCATGGCTGCTCACCGAGAGTTGGTGGATGTTTTTTTTCTAATAGTTGGTCTTCTGATTGTCAGTGAAATGCAAAAGAAATGTGAAGGTGCAACTGAGATGCATTTACTTTGCAATGTGACATTCAGTGACTAATTCAATACGCCCACCAGCGATTACTCTCGACACCTGACATAAACCAGAAACAGCCATCACGCCTCCAGAAGTTTAAATTTCCATTTAAGTTCAAATTTAAGTTAAGACCATTTTTTGATGGTTGCCAAGGGTGGCACATGCACTCCAAAGGTGGCCTTCTTTGATAAATGTTGGATCTTGTGACTAATTTCCATTGCTTCAACTTTCATGAATTTAAACTGGGAAATTCTTAAAGAACATTCAACAGCTTCAGCGTTTACAGACTTGTTGTTGTCACCTCTTTAATGCTGGACCGCATCATTAAGCTTATGCATGTGAGATTTTCATACATGATATTATGCTCACATAGCGGTGACTGTAGCTCAGGTAGAGCAGATTAGCTACTGATTGGAAGGTTGGTGGTTTGATCCTTGGCTTCCCCAGTCTGCATGTCAAATATTCTTGGGCAAGAACCAAGTTGCCCTCTGATGCGTTCATCGGAGTGTGAATGTAGTGTGTGTGTAGATTAGTTTGCACTTGAGTTTAGTTTAGAAGTGCTTGTGTGAATGGGTGAATGAGGCATGTTGTATATAGTGCGTTGAGTACTTTGGGAGAGTAGAAAAGTGCTATATGAGAATCAGACCATTTACCATAATATTGAACTACCCCGCAAAAAATAATAATTTAAAAAACATTAATTAGCCTGCTGACTGATTACTTTTTAACACCATAAAATTGTGAAATCATGCAAAAATAGCTATATATCACACAGCTCTTTCTAGAACGATTAATTTTTTTCTTCCTATTAGCTGAAATGTAGCAACTTAACATAGCAATGTCAAGGTACTCCTCTGTACCTTGACAGTACTGTCTTACCTTGAGGCAACTACTGGGTCTCATAGTAAACCAATTTAAATGGACAGTAATAATGTGGGGCTTTTGTACTGGTAAAGCTGAACAAATATTCTATTTTAAACCAGTGGTAACACAGAAAATAGAGGAATCATCATTCATACTGTCACAGCTGTCACACTCTAAGCTTTAGCTAGCAAAGCACAACACACGTGTGCCCTACTTGTCAGACAACAGTCACTCCCAGGCTTTTGATGGCATCAGCTGAAGCAGAACAGGCAAACGGAAAAAAATGAATAGACTTGCTGATGGCACTCACTTTACCTCCTCTTCTTTCAAACATTACTTTTTGATATTTTAAAAGGGTGCTAAAAAAACCCAGATAGTAAACTGGTGAACACACCCATTTTGGACAAAGCAGGTCATAGGACAGCAGCAAATATGGCATCCTATCGTGCTATCCAGTCATACTGAAGCTTTTTCTGTTTTCATCACATATTTAGAAAAAACATGTGCATTGTACACCCAAAGCAGCAAACTCTGACTCACATCCCCCCAGCCCCCAGAACACAATCCAAATTCAAGCTCCAGGTTATTACCATTTTGTTGTGTCAACGAAAAAAGTGACAAGTGTCAATTGCATAAATGGCACATGTCATTCTAGGTTATCTGTCACTGGGAAAATGAAAGAAAAAAAGATTCAGGTCTGAGTGTGCCAGAGTGTGCCAGAACAAATTACAGCATCAACTCTTAAATCCACATCTCAGGAGATTTAAAAAAGCGTTGTGGTATTTGTTCACTTAATTATAGTAAAGTCTAGAATTTCACAAAGAAAGAGTAGACAGCACTGCACATTTCATTCAGCTACACGTTGTATGTGCGTGGGTAAGTCACAAAGCAGGTACACGTGTATATTCATGTCACCAAAACGAAGAGGAAATTGTTGAATTACATGGAGCCACTGCTGCGTGTGAGAGCAGATGGCCTGATAAGAAATGTCTGCTCTTCTAATGTACTGCACTGTTTTGCTGGACTTAATCTGTTTCAACTCTACTTATTGGCATATCACAGGGCTTTGCCATCTCAAATCTCTTATGGGGGATGGAGATTCCCTTGACCCGGGTCTCCTATGGCAGTAGATCCCATCTCGCTAATGCGGTTGCGCAACCGTCAATCACTTTAATACATTTTCAGTGCTCCTGGCCAGCTGAAGCACTCTCCTCATGAGCAGTTATGTAATAACCCTGGCATCTTCCGTGGAGAGAGAACCACAGCAGTTAGAGAGAGTGTAGTTTTGGTATGATTTGTTTTACATTGTAATTATTCCAAACACTAAGACATAATAAACTGAATGGACACAGACAGCTCTTCAAAATCAAAGTCTGAAAATACATATAAATTGAAGTTCTCATCAGATTCTAGCTGCTGTGGCACCTTCATCTAATATTCTACTCCACTTGTATTTTATTTTCTTTGTCAAGAAAATCAAACAACAGAGCAAAATGCTGCCTCGGGTGTGCTCTATTTTCAGAAGGAATAAAAAGCTTTATGACAGTCAGTCTATGTTTTTCCACCCTTTGCAACAGAAAGGAATATTCCTCAGAGTAAAAATGTGCTAAAATATGTTGGTGCAGCCTGAACACTCCAAACCAATATTTAATAGCACAAGAAACACCACATAAACAGAAAGTGTAGTAAGGATACAAACTTACTGTACTGATAAATAGCAGCATTAGGACTACCAAACACTTGTAAAGTCATTAACATGCTCATTAACATGTCTCAGGTGCATTGCCAAAACGTGAGTGTTCTTATATTAGATTTTATGCAACTTTTACATGAAAGCCAACAATGTGCCTGACCAAAACTTTTGTACTGGAACAATTTGTTTTATATAAAATAAGAAGCCACTGAAATAAATTATGTTGAAAAGTGTGCAAATGGAGCAACATGGCCACTTCACTATCACTCTGTGGTGCTCTTACTCATGTTTGGCTCCCCAATGGAAACACTGAATATTAAAATAAGGTGCTTTTGTCACATTAATGCAAAAAGACATGATCATGATAAGGATCACTCCTGCCAGTTGAACACAAGGCATATCAGCTGATGAAAAAAACTCCCTTTTTTCTGTAAATTGTAACTGAAACATTAATATGTGTATTCAAGAGTATTTTTGTACTTACCACTGCTGTATGAGGCATGGGGTTAAATCCACAAAGATTGCAGACAATGTTCTTGCATTCAGTACAGGTGTTGTAATTGGGTGGCTCCTTCGTTCCCACATTGAGTTTGACCTTACAGAGCAGACAGGTAGACAGACTTTCTTTAGGAGCAACCTGAAGCACTTTGTCCTGTGCTAATGGTGTAGCCTTGGCCTGTTGAAGTGGATCAGGTGTCTGTGTTGCCGGTGGTTTACTATCCTTTACTGGGGGCATCTTAGGAGAAACCGGAGGTGTAGGTTTAGGGCTGACACTTGTTGTAGTGGACATCTTCCGTGGAGTAGGTGGTGTAACTTTAGGTTCATCCTGAACTGCCGAGGTTATCAATGTAGATGCAGAACTTAAAATTGATGAACCAAAACCAAACATCTTCCCAGTCACTGACTCAGCAGGCTTTGGAACAGTAGGTTTAGGGGCACCAAAGCCAAAGAAACCACCAGACTCCTGTTTCGCTGGTTGAGCTGGTGGTGGGGCAGGCTTGGGAGATTGGGTCAATGGCTTTGATGGCTGTTGTGGTAGTTTGCCAGCTTCTTGTTTTGCGAAACCTGACTTTACTTCTGGCTTTGTAGGTTGTGAAATCTGTCCTTGTGGGGGTTTTTCCACAAGCTTTGGCTGGCTGGCCACATCCTGAGCATGTCCTTGTGCCTTTTCCTTAGAATCTTGCTGTGCTTTGTCCATCCTTTGGACTGCAGTTGGCACTGGAGCCTCACCTTTGAGAATTTCTTTTCTGGGTTGAACTACTTGAGTAGCCTCTTTTTGGACATCTGCATACTCTGCAGCTTTCTCCTTCTGGACTAATGTCGGTGTGTCCTTCTGTTCAGAGCGAGGAGGTGTAGAAACCTTGCTTGGCATGGGCTGGGGTTTCACCACAGTAGGTTCAATGGCTTCAGATACTCCAAGGGCTCTCTGCATCTGGCAGTTTAAACAAAGCCATTCCTTTACCTGGAACAAGTGTAATGGAAAGCATAAATCACTGTCCAATAAATAAAAAAACAATAACAGTGTTCTGAAATCAGATGAAGGTGCAATGATTTTAAAGCACAAAGAATATCCAATGATATCAAGGTTACTAATGTAACGTGCATATATTCAAAGGGGATTCATTCATACAAACAAATCATGATCATTGAAAAATAAAATGTGTTTAATTTCTCAAACTGTTTTACCAGTGTAATGTAGTTTTTATTTTCTTTTAATGCAATTTTAATAAGGCATAATTATAAAAAAAAATCAGAGGCGAACTTTTTTTTCAAACAATAGGAACTGTGAGAGCTCCTGTATTGTTTTAAAAGCTTTTCTATAATGCCCAGCTTTGTTACTTTTATTTTTTATATTTTTGACTCAGAGTAGCGTAGCTTTTATCAACTCAATCTGATAATTCTTCTCCAAATGTAAGTTTCAAAAGTTACAGTCTCAAATTGGGGTATGCAACATGTTTTCGATGTCTCTTGAAAAATAAAACATCTATATTTTAACAAATTATTTCTCAAATTTGGTATTCAAATTCTTCCTATAATTTGTGCATTTTACTGGAGATAAATGGCAAAAATTAAGCCAATTCAGGCAATTTATTACAAATAATTTAGATTAAGTCTTTAGATTTAGATTAAATTCAGATTAACATCAGTTAAATATTCATAAAGCTGTTATGGCTGGATTGTTTTGTAAATCAAGTAATACTTGATTTAGTAGGACCCACAATAATTGAGTGACAAAAATATGAAAACTACAAAAAGGGCAACAATAAACAGAAAGTTGCATACCTTTAAATCATCTGGTACTGGATTAAAGCCACACTGATTGCAGACAGTTGTCTTGCATTCTGTGCAAGTGTTGTAGTTAGGAGGATCTGTGGGGCCCACTGTAAGTTTCACCTTACAGAGTGGGCAGACAGACTGATCTGCTTTTGAAGCACCTTGGGTGTCTACTGGCACCTTAGGGGGCTCTGATGGAACTTTGTCCACTTTGGCTTGAACTGTTGAAGGAGTCTTATCCTGCTGTGGTTTCTCTGGTTTCTTCTCCTCTGTTTTCTGGACAGGCGGTGGTTTGGTGTCCTTTGCAGGTAATGTTTTAGGAGAGGCTGGTGGTGTAGTTTTAGGAGTGACACTGGCTGTGGTGGACATTTTACGTGGCGTTGGTGGTGTAGTTTTAGGAGTGACACTGGCTGTGGTGGACATTTTACGTGGCGTTGGTGGTGTAGTTTTAGGCTCATCTTGAACAGCTGATGTTATTAAATTGGATGCAGAGCTTAAGAACGATGACCCAAAGCCAAACATCTTTCCTGTCACTGACTCAGCGGATTTTGCAGCAGCAGGCTGTGTTTTAGGACTGCCAAAACCAAAAAAGCCTCCTGATTCCTGTTTTGCAGGCTGAACAGGTGATGGAGCAGATTTAGCTGGAGGGGTCGCAGCTTTTGGAGGCTGTTGAAGGGGTGCCTTTCTTGCTTCTTGGTCTGATGGAAGAGCAGACTTAGCTAAAGAAGATGCAGCTTTTGGAGCCTGTTGAGGGGGTGCCTTTTCTGTCTTTGAATCAGGGGGAGCGGCAGGCTGAATTTTTGGAGTTTGTTGCTGGGGTGTGTCTGGCTGTCCCTTGGGAGTCTCTGCAGAAGGCTTTTGCGAAACATCCGTCTTTATGATAGTGGATGAAATCATTTTGTCAGGCAATGAAGCAACTTTTGGAGCAACCTCCTTAGTTAGGTCAATATTGACAGGGGAGACAGTTTCTTTGGCTGCAGGAATGCTAACAAGGTCACCTTTGGGTACATCTGGCTTAGAAACATCTTTCTTAGAAGCTGTCAAGATGTCTGTCTTCTGTGTGCTGGCAGGGACCTCTTTGCTTGGTGAAGGTTGTGGTTTTATCATTGGTAGGCCTGGAGGTTCAGAGGCTCCAAGTGCTCTCTGCATCTGACAGTTGAGACATAGCCATTCCTTTACCTGTATGAAAAACACACATGAGCTCTGTCAATCTCTCTCTCACACAAGCAAATTCAAACCAATACTAGAACTATGTCTAAATAGGCATTCTACACTGATAAAACATTTAATTACCTCTGTTACATTTGGCATAGGACTAAATCCACACTTGTTGCACACAGTGGTCTTGCAGTCAGTGCAGGTGTTGTAGTTTGGAACATTTTTGGAGTCCATGTTGAGTTCTGCTTTACAGAGTGGACAAGTAGAGTGAGCCCCTTTGGGAGCAGCTTCTGGTTTTTCAGACTCTATTGGTGTTTTATCCACTGTTGTCTGCTCTGATAGAGGAGCCTTGACTGGCTGAGGTTGCTTCTTTTCCAGTTGTGGTTTCTGAGCAACAACTTGGTGTGATTCTTTGCTTAGGGGTTGTTTTTCCTGTATTTGATCAGAGGATATAATCAGCTGTTCAGCTGTTTTCTGAAGTGTTTCAACTTTATTGTTTTCCTTTTCTGAATCTTCTTTAGGCAGAGGAAAACTTGGTGTGAGATCACTTTTCTTCATAGCTGAAGTTTCAGCATTAGTGATAACAGGTGCACCTTGGGAAGGCAGTTGTCTTTCTTCGCTTGGAGGTGCAGTGATGGCTTGAACATCCTTGGCAGGCAGTGAACTAACTTTCTCCTCTTTTGCTTCAGCTGAAACAGTAGCTGTGGTGTCTTTTGCAGGTGGAACGATATCTGGAGTTCGATGTACGATATCCATTTTCTCTGCTGGTGCCTCTGGTTTTGGACTTTCTTTCTGCTTTTTCTCTAATACGTCTGTTTTCTGTGTGGGAATAATATCTTTCGTTTTAGTCTCAGAGACATCTTTTTGCTCAGCGGCAGGTGCGGATGCTTTGCTGGGTGATGCCTGAGGTTTCATCAGTGGAGGCTGTACTGATTCAGCTGCTGTGAGGGCTCGTTGCATCTGGCAAGTCAGACACAACCACTCCTTCATCTACAAGGAAAAGCATATTATTTTGAGTAAGTGTGTCTTTAACAACTAAATTTTTAAAATAAAAGCATAAATCGCCACAGTTAATAAAACATAACGTATATATTATACATAACATACATTTTAATAACTACATTTTTGGTTTATTTACCTCCGTTTCATTTGGTGTTGGGTTAAATCCACACTGGTTACAGACAGTTTTCTTGCATTCAGTACAGACATTGTAGTTAGGCAGATCCTTAGACCCTATGTTGAGCCCAGCCTTACAAAGTGGACAGGTGGACGGGCCTTGTTTGACGGTGGTTTGGGAGGCTTCACCTGTTTTTGGAGGTTCTGATGGAGCCTTGTCAACTTTGGCTGAGACTAATGGTGGTGTCTGGATCAGCTGGGGTTGTTCAGCCTTGGTTTTCTCCTGGGTAGCAGGGGATTTGATCTCTTTTGCAGGGGATAACTTGGGAGAAACTGGTGGAGTCTTAGGCTGGTCCTGAACAGCTGAGGTAATCAAAGTGGATGCAGAACTGAAAATAGAAGAACCAAAGCCAAACATTTTCCCCGTCACAGACTCTGCCTGCTTTTCAGCATCAGGTTGAGATTTACCACTGCCAAATCCAAGGAAGCCTCCCGATTCTTTTCGTGGTGGTGGAGTGGCAGTACTCAGCTTACGTTCAGGCTGCCTGATTTGGTCTGGTGATTTGTTAGGAGCTGATGTTTTCTGGGGCTTCTGTTGTATTTTCTGAGAAGAAACCGGGGTGGCCTGTTTGTGAACCTCTGGCTTGACTTTAGTCTCAGATGTAGCAGGCTGTGCCGTTACGGATAGTTTCCTCTGAGGTGACTGCTGTGCTGAATACACCTTCTTTTCAGGTTCAGCTGGGCTGGTGACATCTTTCTTTTGGGGTTTTGCAGGTGTCTGAGCATTCACTGAAATTACTGATGGAGGCTCTGTTACTCCTAGAGCCCGCTGCATCTGGCAGGTAAGACATAACCACTCCTTTGCCTGAAAGAAAAATTAAATAAAATTAAAAGTTATATACACACACACATATTGTTAGGTGATCTATTTACAAATACTGATTGTTTATTAAACTAGTTATTTTTATTTTAGTTTACTTTTCCAATGCTGTAATACATCTAGTAATACGTAGTATTTTTTCATTATTTAATATTCCTAAATCCTGGATGAATATTCCTTGAAATCCTGAAATCTAGGTCAACAAGAGACATTTCAAAAGTATAAGTCTGCTGATATTAGTTAAATACAAAGTGTCAATAATAACATGTTTTGTTTTCTTCTTAGTCTTACCCCAGTTCCGTCTGGCATAGGGTTAAATCCACACTGGTTGCACACAGTGTTTTTGCATTCAGTGCAGGTATTGTAGTTGGGCAGCTCCTTGGAACCAGTGTTAAGTTTGACCTTACAGAGTGGGCAGGTAGACTGATCTGGTTTGACAGCTGCTTGGGAAGCTGCTGCCTTTGGAGATTCTAATGGCACCTGTCTTGATGCTGGTGTTTTGGTCTGCAGGGATGGCTCAGTTAACTTCTGCTGCTCCAGCTTCTGGGAAGCAGGGGGTTTCATCTCTTCTGCTTTTGACTGGATTGATGGTGGACCCTTTATCTGCTCTGGTTGATCAGATTTCGTCTCCTGTTCTGGTTTCTTTACAGTGGAAGATTTGGTTTCCCTTGCAGGAGACATCTTAGGTGAAACTGGTGGAGTAGTTTTTGGCTGGTCCCGAACCGCTGAGGTTATCAAAGTAGATGCAGAACTGAAGATTGAAGAACTAAAGCCTAACATTTTTCCACTCACTGACTCTGCAGACTTTGCAGCTTCAGGTTGAGGCTTAGGACCAGCAAAGCCAAAGAAGCCTCCTGACTCTTGCTGTGTTGCTGCTTTGGCATTAGTTTGCTTACGACCAGGTTGGGTTGCCTGATCTGGGACTTTTTCAGGAGCTGTTTTCGCTTTTTCTTCCGATGTTTTACGTTCAGGTGCTGGGCTAGCCTGTTTCACAGATGCTGTTGATTGTTTTCTTTGTGGGGAGACTGCTTCTGAGGTTTGCTTTTGTACAGCTGTGTCTGGACTGTCCTTTGTTTGAGGAGTAGTCAGTTTGGAAGATTCCTTGGACTGGACTGTAGCAGGTAAAGAAACTTTATTGGGTGACATTTGTGACTTTAGTGATGGAGGTCCAGTAAGCTCAGAAGCTCCTACTGCTCTTTTCATCTGACAATTAAGACACAGCCACTCTTTTACCTAAAATATAATAGACACTTGGTTAAGTGATGCTTTATAACTACAGATTATATCATCAAATGTATACATTATCAAAACAAATTCATCAAATCTCTACTTAAATATAGTTTAATACCACAGATGATACATCTACAAATAAATTACTTTAAAAAGCAACTTTTAATGATTGAATTCAAAAGGCCGGTACCAAAGATTAAAGTCACCTACACAGTATCTGGCCCAAAGTGAAATAGGATTATTATATTACCTCTGCTCTTGAGATAGAGCATTGGATAATGGCTTGAAAAATGTTTTAACTTCTCTTTATAAGACATCATCACTATATCTTTTAATCCTATTAGCCATTTATATTAAATTTTATAAGAATTATCATCTGATTTATTAATTATGACAAAAGGCATATTTTCAGCTCACAGTGGCATTGACTTTTGATAACTAAATTCTGAGTACACTACAGTGTTTGGCTAAAAAAAAATTTAAAAAATCACATGGTGTGTTTGAGATGTTTTCAAGTCTGAGATGCACAGACATGGACACAGATGACCACAAAAACATGCCTGAGACTATAACTGCTGCCAGCATGGTGGTATTTGATTGTTTTGACACTACAGGCAATGTGGAAAACAGACAATATTTTTTAAATCTTGTATTCATGTACTTACCTCTCCTACTGGCATGGGATTAAATCCACATTGGTTGCAGACAATGTTCTTGCACTCAGTGCAGGTGTTATAGTTAGGTGGGTCCTTGGAGCCTATGTTAAGCTCAGCCTTACACAGTGGACACGTTGTCTGGCCTGCATTAGGAGCCATATGAGACACTTTTGCTACTTGTGGTAGAGCTTTATCATCTTTGCTTTGGTGGGATTCTTCTGGTTTCTTCTTTTGTTCTGGCTTCTGAGGAAGAGTTTTAGGCTCCCTTGCCGGTGACATCTTGGGAGAAACTGTTGGTGTACTTTTTGGAGAACTCTTGGTTGCAGCAGACATCTTCGGCGAGACTTGTGCTGGCGCAGACATTTTTCGAGAGCTTGGTGGTGTGGTCCGTGATTCGTCTTGAACTGCAGATGATATCAAAGTGGATGCTGAGCTGAAAATGGAAGATCCAAAGCCAAACATCTTTCCACTGATGGATTCTGTTGTTTTTGAAGTATCAGTTACGATTTTACCACCCAAACCTAGTGGGTTTCCAGACTCCTCTTGTGTGACTGTGGTGACCTTACTCTGTTTTAATCCCGGTTGACTTCCCTGGTCAGTTGGTTTCTCAGGGCCTGATGCAACTGAAATATCAAGAGGCTTTTTCTCACCAGGAGTTGGGCTAGGATGTCCTTCACTTTCGGGTCCTTTAGCCTCCTTAGATGAAGGTGCTACTGCTGTGGACCGTGTCTTCTGAGGAGAGCCTAGGGTGGCTGTGTCCTTCTTTTGAAGTATGCAAGCCCCTGGAGTCTCCATCTTAGGAGCTGCATCTGATTTTATTTCCTTTTTAGTTTCCACTTGATCAGTAACTATTGCTTTATGATGTACAGCAGATGGAGAAATTTTTTTATCTCCATGGAGGTGTTTCACAGGAGGCCCTGTGGGTTCAGCTGCACTAAGAGCTCTCTGCATCTGACAGTTCAGACATAACCATTCTGCATAACCAACCTGCAAAAACAAAGTATATTTTATTAAAATATGAAACATTTAAAATAATATTAACATCTAAATTAATGTTGTAATAACAATTCAATTACAGGTCTATATATGTAATTTATGCCGTGCATTTTATTGAAGTTTTATTAAAGTAAAATGAGTAATTATTGCTTCTCCTACCTCTGACACATTTGGCATTGGATTGAATCCACACTGGTTACACACAGTGTTCTTGCATTCAGTGCATTTGCTGTAGTTTGGCGGTTCCTTTGAGCCAAAGTTGAGTTTCATCTTACAGAGTGGACAGGTAGATTGGCCTGCCTTTGGAAGAGCTGGTGAAGCTGGCTCTTTCTCTACTTTGGCTTGTATCAGGGGAGAGGTCTTGGCTTCTTGAACTTGCACAGCCTTCTTCTCCTGCTCCTGCTTCTGAACAAATGGTGATTCACTCGCCTTTGAGACAGGAAGCTTAGGAGAAACTGGTGGTGTCTTTTTGGATTCATCTTGGACAGCTGAGTTTATTAAAGTCGAAGCCGAACTGAAGATGGAGGTACCAAAGCCAAACATTTTTCCACCCCGTGATTCACCAAGCTTTGTAGAATCTGAGGGAGGTGTGGAACGGCCAAATCCAAAGACAGCTCCAGACTCCTCTTGTGTAGTGGATGTAATACTACTCTTTTTGATTTCAGTTGGATTTCTCTGTTCAGGTGGTTTTTGAGGTCCTGTCTTTTGGCTCTGCGGTGGCTTTTCTGGTTGCTCTGCTGGTTTTTTCATCTGACAGTTGAGACATAACCACACCTTCCCCTATATTAAAGCAAGGAAAAATTAATTAAAATATAGTCAGGGTAGTTTTAATGCAATAGAATATTTTACTATTAAAAGACTGTAATAAGTTCATTGACAAACATTTATATATGTAATATGTATAGGTGATTGTTCAAGTATTTTCTTACCTCCTTAACATTTGGCATAGGATCAAATCCACATTGGTTGCAGACAGTGTTTTTGCACTCAGTACAGGTGTTGTAGTTGGGAGGGTCTTTAGAACCCATATTGAGTTCCAGTTTACAGATAGGACAAGCTGACTGGCCTGTCTTAGAAACGACAGGCAATGCAGGTGCTGTCTTGGATGCCTCTTCAGGAGGTTTGCCTGCTTTTGTCTGTACTGATGGTGAACCTTTGTCTTTTTGTGTTTGCTCTGATGTTTTCTCCTGTACCAGTTTCTTGACAGTGGGAGACTTGGAGTCACGTGCAGAAGACATCTTAGGAGACACTGGTGGTGTCTTTTTGGATTCATCTTGGACAGCTGAGTTTATTAAAGTCGATGCAGAACTGAAGATGGAGCTACCAAAGCCAAACATTTTTCCACCTAGTGATTCAGGGGTCTTTGCAGAATCAGGTTGAGTTGTAGAACTGCCAAAGCCAAAGAACGATCCAGATTCCCCTTGTGTCGATGCTGTACTACCCCTTTTAGATCCTGGTTGATTTATCTGATCTGTTGGCTTCTGAGGACCTGTCTTCAAGCTTTGCTGTGCATTTTTCTGACCAGAAGCTGGACTGGCCTGCCTATGACTTTCAGATCCTTTCACATCTTCAGTCTTTGCCAGCTGTTCTCCTGGCTTTTGCACTTTCCGCTGAGGTGAGCTTGATGGAGAGGGCTCCTTTAATTTAGATTCAGCAGATGTCACATTCTCTTTCTTTTGAAGTTTATCCACTGGGGGAGTTTCCTTCTTTAGGGCACTGTCTTGTGCAGTGACTTTACTCGGTGAAGCCTGTATTTTCATCATGGGAGTTCCTGGAGGTTCTGATGCTCCAAGTGCTCTCTGCATCTGACAGTTGAGACATAGCCACTCCTTCACCTACAATGGAGCAACAATATTTAAAAATTCAATCAGTCGTGCTGCGGAATACATTTTAATGTTAAGACATTTTAAAGTGACAACAATAAAAAAGACATAATGTCACAGTTATTGTTCAAATAAATTGTTATATTCGACACAATTCTTCTTAACTTACCTCCTTAACATTTGGCATAGGATTAAATCCACACTGGTTGCAGACAGTGTTTTTGCACTCAGTACAAGTATTATAGTTGGGAGGATCTTTAGAGCCCACATTAAGTTCCAGTTTACAGAGAGAGCAGGTAGACTGGCCTGCCTTGGAAACAACTGGTGGAGCTGATGCTTTCTTTGGTTGCTCTGATGATGGCTTGTCTGCTTTTGGCTGTACTGGTGGTGAGCCCTTGGCTTTCTGTAGTTCCTCTGTTTTTTTGGCCTCTTCCAGCTTCTTGACTGGAAGAGGAGATTTCGAAGTGGGGGGTTTAGAATCCTTTGCAGCAGACATCTTGGGAGAAACAGGTGGTGTACTTTTAGGTTCATCTTGAACAGCTGTGGTAATCAAAGTAGATGCAGAGTTGAAAATGGAGGAACCAAAACCAAACATTTTCCCTGTCACTGAATCTGCAGGCTTTGTAGCATCAGGCTGAGTTTTAGCACCACCAAAACCAAAGAGGCCTCCGGACTCTTGCTGTGCAGCTTTAGTGGTGCTTTCCTGCTTTCCTACAGTTTGATTCGTCTGCTGCGGTTGTGTCTTCTTGTTCTCCTGAGATGCTGTTTGACCAGGAGCTGGGCTGACTGCCTTTTGACTGTCTGGTTCTTTAGTCTTTGCTGGCTGTGGTGCTGATGTTGGTACTTTTCTCTGGGGAGAGCCTGGTGCATTAGTCTTCTGTGGTGTAGGCTGTGTGGGAGTAGTCTTTTTGAAAGATTTTCCCAAAGATGTATCAATTTGAGGTTCAATTCCTCCAGCAGCCCGTTTCACCTGGCAGTTTAGACATAGCCACTCCTTCCCCTTAAAAGAACAGCATAAAATACATTATAAATGTATTAATCCTAAAAACACAAAAACAGTCTTATGGAAAAAAAAACACAAAAAGAGAAAAGAACCATAGAAATACAAATGCACAAAAAATGTTATAACTACAGTAAGCAAGAACTGTGGTGGTCCAAAAATCAGCTTAAGATTGGGATAGTACTTTATGGTGCTATTTGTAGCACCAAATATTTACATGAGACAATGTAATGTATTTTAACTGTATCCAAATAAATTTGGTTTTCCAACTAAAAATAATGCAGCAAAACAAAAGCTTAAAGAAGGATTAATCGCCAATAACTATTTGTTTAACTTACAAATTAAAAAACTGAGAGCAATAATGATAGTATTATTTTAGTTTAAGGCAGTATCACAACACAGTAGGTACTTTGTCATTTACCCTCAAAGGCTTTACTTTGAGCAGTGATGTATTTTGAAAACACCTTTAAAAGTAAATGTCTTTGTCCAAAATCCAAGAACAGGAACTTGCACAGTATGAATGTGAAAAAGCAACAACACTGTTCAAGCATTACTGAGCATTTTTATTTCTTGTTTCTGTTATATAACCATATAAGAGTGGTAACATTATTGAAAGAAATAAAATGCCACTCCCTTTTACTTGAAAAGAGATCTAGGTCTAATGGAAAAGACAGCTGTTTGCAGGAGTGTGAGCCTTCCCCTGCTCAGCATGATTAAAGGATCTGACAAATAGCATTCTCAGTGTGACTCTTAGTCAAAGTATCAGACGTTCAACAGGACTGCACATGAAAACAAAAACAAACAAAAACAAAATAGCTTTCTCGGGTAACTTCTGTGTTCATAAAACTTTGTGAAAAACGCTCAAATGTAACAAAATTTTGTATATCATCTAACATGTAATGGTTCTTTGATAATAGCTCTCCAATCTATGAAATAACATAAAAAAGGATCTTAACAGCTTCAACAAGCTTAATTCTTAAGCATGCCTCAGAAGTCCAAGTAAAAGACACTTCTGAGAAATCTGTAAAATATTACAGCAAACAAATGTACTGACCCTTTAAAACTCCAAAATTAAAAAGATATACATTTTATTTTAATTTTCCTAAGTTACTTCAGTAAACTGCACCTCTTACCTCATTAACGTTTGGCATGGGGTTAAAACCACATTGATTGCAGACAACGGTTTTGCATTCAGTGCATGTGTTGTAGTTGGGAGGATCCTTCGAGCCCATGTTAAGCACTATTTTACAGAGAGGACAAGTGGATTGGCTTGTAGTCGGAGCAGTGTGGGAAGTTGTTGCTGTCTTTGGAGTGACTGGCAGGGATTTTTCTGCTTTTGCCTGTCCAGCTGGATGAACCTTTGCTTGTTGAGGTTGTTCTTGTTTCTTGTCTTGTTCTGACTTTTGGATAGAAGGCGGTTTGGTCTCCTTGGAAGATTGCATTTTAGGAGAAACCGGTGGAGTTGTTTTAGCCTCATCTTGAACAGCAGAAGCTATCAAATTAGATGCAGAACTAAAAATAGACGAACCAAAGCCAAACATCTTTCCAGTCACTGAATCTTCTGTCTTTGCAGTTTCAGTTTTAGTACCTCCAAAGCCAAATAAACCTCCTGACTGCTGCTGGGGTGCTGAGGTGGCACTGCTTTGCTTGCGTTCAGTCTGATTAGTTTGGTGTGGCTTAGGAGATCCTGATGCTCTCTGGGCCTCAGGTGTCATTTTCTGAACAGGTGCTGGACTGCCTTTTTTTTGAGCCTCCGGTCCTTTAGCAGCTTCTGCCTTTTCTGGCACTTTTGTTGATTTAGACTGGATTTTCTGCGGTGAACCTGGTGCTGATATTTCCTTTTTGACAGGCTCAGCAGCTGATGGTGTCTGTTTTTGGGGACCAGACATTTTGTTAGGTGTGGGGTTTTTCATGGGAGGTCCTGGCAGTTCAGAAGATCCTTGAGCTCTCTGTATTTGGCAAGTAAGACAAAGCCACTCGTGTGCCTGTACAAAAAAACAAAGACAAATAAATTTATTAAAAGATATGTGCAGATAGATGCACATAATGTAATAAGGTGAAAGAAGAAAAAAAGTACATTTCCCCAAATTATTCAAGGGACATCACAACTGAGTTTTGAAACTTTTGAAAATAAAAAAAATGTAAAAACTAGTGATTCAATAATGGTACCAGATTGATTTAGCTCTACCAGTGCTAAACCCGTGTTAATTCAATACTAATTAAACACAATCTAACAGCAGTTTTCAAATACATGACATAAAATGTACAATACTTGCGATAGTACAATATTTCATCTTGTAAGAACTTTGGTGTCACCAAGTAGCTTGCCCACTACTAGCACGGTAAGGGTTCCGTGTCCTTTGGTAAGACATTGAACCCAAAATTGTAAAACCCCTTGTGTGTGAATGTGAAAAGACATTGCAAAGTACTTTGAACAATATACTTTGTTCAAAGTATGTGCTAATGTGCTAAAACACATTAAGTGAAATATTTCAAGTCTTTGTTGCTTTAATTGTTAGATAAAAGATAGCAATTTTGATTATAGCTTATATCTCAGGAAAATCTGAAATCTCTATCTCAGATTATAAGAATATCAATCAAAAAAGGATTTACAACACAAAATATCAAACCTCTGAAAAATATGTTCATTTATACACTCAATACTTGATTGGAGCTCCTTGAAAACATACTATTGGATCAAAATGGACTACATAAAGAAATGTATAATGTTTATGTTTTGTTCTATAAGGACTGCACTGCTTCAGCCAAATCCACATACTACTCTGGTTTAATCAGTTCTAATGAAGGTAGCTCAAGGTCTCTCTTTTCAATGTTCAGTAAAATTACAAAACCTCCAGACATATTACCCTCCCATATGTATTCTGCTGACTTTTGTAATTCTCTTATGTCTTTGTTCACCCGTAAAATCTCAGATATCCACCGTCAACTTAACTCTGCAGGAGCTTCCAACTCTGAAGTAGACTTCCTGTTTCCCCTCACTTTTTTCAAGCTTTCCTCTTCCCTCCATAACTGATGTATCTAATCTTATTATAAAATCTAAATCATCCACCTGTCACCTTGACCCTCTTCCCACTGTGTTAGTTAAAGCCTGTCTTGCCTCATTAGCTCCTCTCATAACCAGTATTATACATTCCTCCCTTAACACTGGAATCGTTCCTTCATCTCTGAAAAAGGCTTCTTTTATTCCAACTCTCAAAAAGCCTGGTGCAGACCCCCATAACTTTGATAATCTTTGCCCTATATCAAATCTACCCTTTATTTCAAAAATTCTTGAAAAAATTGTCACCTCCCAGTTCACTTACACCTCAATAAACATAATCTCTATGAACAATTTCAATCTGGTTTCCGCCCCAGTCATAGCACAGAAACTGCTTTGTTAAGGATTATCAATGACCTTCTGATGGCAGCTGATTCTGGTCTCCTATCCATCCTCATCCTTCTTGATCTTAGTGCGGCGTTTGATACCATTTCTCACAATATCCTCCTGAACTGGCTAGCATCCATTGGCATTAGTCATACGGCCCTTGCCTGGTTCACCTCCTATCTCTCAGACAGCACTCAGTTTATCCAATTTAAATCCCATTCTTCAACTCTCCATCCTGTTTCTGCTGGTGTGCCCCAGGGTTCAGTATTAGGGCCTCTTTTATTCATTATTTACATGCTCCCTCTTGGTCATATATTCTGAAAATATATTATAAATTTTCACTGTTATGTCGATGACACCCAGCTCTTCTAAACCCAATTCATCCCTCCCACCTACCTCCCTCTCAAATTGTCTTATCAAGAGTAGATCATGGTTCTCCTCCAATTTTCTTAAACTAAACAGTAATAAAACAGACGTTTTACTTGTTGGTACAGCCTCTATCTTATCCAAATGCCACAGTTTTTCCATTGACATTGAAAGTTCTCCCACCCTTTCCTCCCCTCAGGTTAAGAGTTTGGGTGTCATACTTGATAATACTCTTTCATTCCAGTCCCACATTAATTACATAACCTGGTCTGCATATTTCCACTTACGCCCCTTCCTTACTCCCCATGCTGCTGCCATCCTTGTCCATAGTCTTATTACGTCCCGCATTGATTACTGCAATTCCCTCTTATTTGGTCTCCCTAAAAGGTCCCTTCATAAACTCCAACTTCTTCAAAATTCCACAGCTCGGGTCATAACACGTACTCCTTCAAGAGCTCATATTAGGCCAGTTCTTCAGCAGCTTCACTGGTTGCCCATAGAAGTCAGGATAAACTTTAAAATCTTACTTCTCACGTTCAAATGTATCCATAAATCTGCTCCTTCCTATTTGTGTGACCTGCTCCATATCACCACTGTCTCCCGCCCTCTCCGATCCTCATCTGCTATTCATCTTACTGTTCCGTCCGCACGTCTTACCACTATGGGGAACAGAGCCTTCAGTCGCTCTGCTCCTCGACTCTGGAACTCTCTTCCTCCAGCCATAAGAAATATAAACTCTCTTCCCACATTTAAGTCACAGCTCAAAACACATCTGTTCAAACTGGCTTATTCGCTTTAGTGCTGATTTTATCTGTTGTCAAGTTCTGCTTTGCAATTTTAACTTATTTTATGACTATTGCTTCTTTTATTAATTTTGTTCTTTTGTAAGGTGATCTTGGGTTTTTGAAAGGCGCCCTCAAATAAAATGTATTATTATTATTATTATTATTATTGTTAATATGCTGTGTTGTGACATACAGCAGACCAGCTTGCTAAGGTGTTCTTGAAGATCAAGTTGCTTTAACAGCAACCTTCATCTTGTATACATTCTCAGGTCAGGTGTTTCTCATCTTCCTCTTGACAATACCCTACAGATTTTTAATGAGGTTCAGGTCAGCTGAGGTGGCTGACCAATCAAGGACAGTGACAAGATAGTCAGCGAATTATTTGTTAGTAGTTTTGGCACTGTGTGCATGAGCTAAATCCTGCTGAAAATGGAAATATCTTTCTCCTTAGCCAAGATAAGACGATTCTGACATTGTCTCTGAGTATTGATTGTTTGGTATGATTGATAATAGAAATTAGATAGTTGTAGACCCTTTCCTGAAGCTGTTTGTGTGTAGTGGTTCTTGAAGTTAAGTGCTGTGCAAAACTCTAGAGCGAGCCCTCATTTCTCTTTATTTTATTTCCTTCTTGTAATTTTAAAGTAGTAGAGCAAGAGTTCCTCAAGCTTTGTGAAGGTCTTTCAAGGATTTTCTTTGGATATTAGATATTGACTAAATTTTCCCATTTTCAATACAGTCCTTGTACCTAGCAATTATGAATGGAATGCTTTTGCTTGTTTGTTAAGCCACTTAACACTGGCCTATGACTCAATCAAGCATAAAAAGGCACCTAACTCAATGAATGAACTAGTGTCATATACATACACATAACAGACAAGTTAGCCAAGAACCAATTTTAAATTATATATTTAGGCACGTTTGTTACCAGCAGCACATCGCAAAATTATATAATTTCTTCTGAAATTAAATCAATGAAAAGTCCAAAAATAACACAGTTTCAAAGGCACAAAATAGTTAATACAAGTTTTAGATACTTTATTTATAACTAGCTATAGTTATAAATTGCTATAGTTATAAATTGTTATAGAAATAGATTCCCAAAGAGCTACTAGCTGAAAACTCTCCATTTCTTAACATGTTGTACAGAGTTTACTTAAAATTTTGCAGAAATTTGACAAGTGGAGAAAAAAGAAAATGTGTCAGGACTAAAGAAAACCATCAATAGGATGTCTGTGAAGGTTCTCAGTCATCCAGGTCATCGTTGTTTAATGTAGACTGTTCCTTGCTACACTGTACAGCACTGTTGCTGTACAGTGTAACGAGGAACACTGCTGTACAGTGGAGCAGGGAATGCTCAGACCTCTACATTGGAGAGAGCAAACAGCCACTTCATAAACGCATGGCACAACATAGAAGAGCCACCTCGACGGGACAAGACTCTGCATCTAAAGTACAAAGGTCACTCCATCGAGGACACCAATGTTCACATTTTGGACAGAGAAGACAGATGGTTGGCTGATTGTGGCCTACACCCATTTTCACACCTTGGTGATTAGGTAGAGGATCATTAGGGGGTCCATTGTCCCTCTTGGGGGACTCCCATAGGGCTTAAATCTGGGACTCTCCATCATTTGACCTTAGAACTGAAGAAGCTTCTCAGATGAGAGGTGAAACGTTTTCAAGCAACTTAAAGAATTCGAGACGCTTTTCTTTCCAAGCTCCTTAGACCATCAATAAGATATGAGTAGTATCTGACAGTCATGTTCTTGAGAAATAGGAAAAAAATCAAGAAAACACCTGACACTGGTCCTTAAGTTGATCCATGTACTATTCAGTGAATCTTGAAATGGTCTCAGTAGAAGGGTAGCTGTAAATGAGTTAATCTTAAGGAAGGAAAACAAGGAAGTATGCCAAACTACTCCAGAAAATCAGTGGCAAAACCAAATTTTAGTTCAAATCATCATCAGTACATACAAAGGATGTCAGAAGAGAAGTACAACAGTGAGTACTGTGTCTACAGGTATCTGTAGAACACGCTGGACACTCTGTCATGTTTTGGGGCTGCATTTCAGCCTCTGGCACATAGAAATCTACCATCAGATTTTCCACCAAGCAATACCAACTCGAAAATGGCTGATTGGCAACAGCTTCATTTTCAGCATGAAAATGATCTCAAATATACTGCCTAAAGCATACCTGGATAGAAAAACACAGTGGAAGACTGTTAGTCATAGATTGGTCACTTGAGAATCTAGCATTTAACATTACTGAAACAGTGTGTGATCATCTTGGGATAAAATGGAATAAAAGGCAACCAACATCCAAAGAAGAGGCTGAACGTCCTTCAGAAAGACTGGAAAACTATTGCTGAAGACTACTTAAAGAAATTACAAGAAAACCTGCCTAATAGATTTCAAGCTGTGTTGGTGAATAAAGGTGGTCATACCAAAGACCGACTTCCATGCTTGTCAGAATTATACAAACACGATTTTTGCATTCTACATTGCATTTCCATGTAGTTTTGCAACAGCTTCAGTAAACAGCTGAACATATCTCACATTTTCATAGCAAAATATAAAGAAATGAGGGGTGGCTCAAGATTTGTTCACAGTATTGTACTAACATGTTACTTCATTCTATGCAAAGCTCTTCAGAGTTCTTCAATCGATTGGTCTTAACAGTCCTCTCAAGGCTGCACTTATACATGTTGCTTGTGCACCTCTTCCTACCACACTTTTTCCTTCCAGTCAAATTTCCATGAATATTCTATGATACAGCACTCTGCAAACAGGCAGCCGTTTCAGCAATGATCTTCTGTGGCTTACTCTCCTTGTAGAGGGTGTCGAAGATCACCACCTGAACAGCAGTCAAGTCAGCAGTCTTCCCCGTGACTGAGGTTGCGTGCACTGAATTAGACTGAGGCATACACGGTATTTATACTGTTTGAGTAGAAGTTTTAATCTCAAACTGAAATATTTGAATAATGTGAGACACTGATTTTTGTATTTTTGTGAGCTATGAGCTGTGATTGTCAAAATGAAAACAAAAAGGCTTGAAATATTTAAATGTGCATTAAATATTACCTTTTTTAATTAAATGACAAAATGCATTTTTTATGATATTCTGAACTTTTAAGATGCATTGATAGATGCAAATGAATAACCATTCAACTCCTGGCCATTTGCCCTCATTGTCTCATGATATCAATTAAAACTACACTGCATTAATATTTTTAATTACATATGTATTAATTCTGTAAGTGTAGTGTATAGCAAAAGTATCCAACCAAAGAAAACTGCTTGAAATTTGTAGTATCAAATAAAAGAACATTTGCATTGAAGCAAAATTACGAGAAAGCATAAAATAGATCACATTAAGACTAAATTAAACCACTACTTACATTAGAGTCTGGAGGGCTGAAGCCACACAAGCTGCACACATCCATTTTACACTGTGTACAGGTTTTATGGTTAGCTGGTTCTTTTGTAAGTTGTGTTGTTTTACACACTGGGCAAAGCTTTGCTACTGCTGTTGACCCTGATCTTGCTTTAGCTGTTCCAGGTGATGAAGACCCTGCTTGTGTCATGCCAGTTGGACCAGGTCCCTTACTCCCTTGCTTATCAGAGGACTGCTGTTGGGATGTGGCCCTGATGCCTTTCTGCTCTGGTCCTGCCTTAGACGAGTCATGCTGTTGCTGCCCAATTTTTGGTGATGCCTGCTGTTGTTTTCCAACCTCAGACCCAACCTTTGTTGACCCTTGTGCACCAGTCTTAGTGGGGTTTTGTTGCTGCATCCTTGTCTGTTGTTGAGCTCCAGGTTTAGGAGAACTTTGCTGTATAGGTTGGTTTTTGGGGGGTTCTCCTTTAGGCTGGACTTCAGGTTGAGCCCCTGTCTTTGAAGTTGTTTGTTGCCCAGCAGGTTTGTTTGAGGGGCCAGTTTGTCCATTTCCATGTAGCTGTGGTGAACCTTGCTTGGGAGGTTGTTGGGTCTTTTGCATAGGGGGAGATTGGCCTGGTTTATGGGGATGCGGTTGCTGTTGATGGTCTTTTCCAGAGCCTGCTGTTGGCTTCTGTTCTCCAGATTGCTTTTGCCCCTGCTGGGGAGGTGATTTTTTATCCCCCTCACCATCATCTCCAAACAAACCAAACTTATTTACAGCAGAGGACACGGCATTGAGGGGGTTTGCCCCACTAAGGAATTTGGAGGAGAACATTGTTGGGTCTTCCTCGTCCTCCCCCTCTTCCTCCTTGCAGGAGCTGGAATCTACAGGACTGTCAGAGTCAGAGCAGGAACTGTCTCCACTTTGACCCGGCTCTCCCACAGATGCCTGAGGGGGGGCTGGACCGGTGGAGAGGGCATCTACAGCCCCACTCCTGCTGCTGCTGCTACTGCTGCTGCTCCCTGGGCTCTCCTCTGGCTCAGCATCTACGTCAGACTTCCTACATACATGACAGACAAAGAGAGGATGTGTGAGGTGACAGAAACAAGGGAGGGATAATGAAAGAGAGTAACATTTGCGGACCACAAGTATGTAGAAGAAGGGATAACGTAGTTTCACCCATCCACTCAACATTAACATAAAGTTGGCTTAATCTAATAACTCAACTTTGAAGACCATCAATGCATTACACAATATGTACTTAACTCGATTTAGACAAGTGTATCCTTATCTGAACCTATTAACTGCATGGTTTTCAATAGAGAAATTTTCATATAAATATTCTGTAAGAATCTGTGTATTAGACACACCGGTGTTTGATAAATTATATTTATTTCCATTCTGGTTAGAACTATTATTATTTGTCATTAAAGCCATTAAAGATTCATTCTCTTTGATTTACTCCACACCGACTGTTGCTTTCAGTACCATGGACGGGACCAGAACCGCTCTGCTGCTTGCAGCCTATACAAATCAGAGAGATCCTTGTCAGCCAGTTAAAGCCTACGATACAGCCTAATGTGCAATACAGGAGGGGGATGTTGCTCTCAATTGACCGGGCTACTACAAATCCTATTCAAATGACTATTGAAGGTGGACTCGCGGGTCCAGAACACCATTTTTTTTCACGGTGACAGAATTAGATTTTCATTATCCGAATGGCACCGATTGTCACGGAGTGAAAAATGTCACGCAAGACCTGTTTTACAGCAGCCAGACGAGTAAACACAGGAAATCTAGCGCTTTCACTGGAGAAACTGCAGGCACATCCGGGTAGCGGCCCAGCAAATAATGCATGGGAAGTAAATACTGATAGTTTCTTGGACAAAAGCAACATCAAGGACAATACAAGTCTGTGATGACCAATTATCTTTCTAAATAGGCAATTACAGCTGCGTTCGGCGTTTACTACGCAATGCTCACTTGCAGCTCAGGTTCACTCATACGCGGTGGATCTGACGTATCCACGGCGCTTTACCGATATGAAAAGGCATCATGTATAACCACCAACCATTCTAAACCGGACAACATCTTAGTCCGCAGAGGGTACGAGGTGATAACAGCCCAAGCCCACGGGTGAGCGAAAAAATGGAAAACACATTCTCACCTTTTTCTTGTGTCCTTGACCAGGTATCTTAACGAATATTTTTTATACTTAATGTGTAGTATACTGTTCTAGATTATTGTAAACCAGCGTAAAACTGTGACGAAACCCAGTAACAGCTCTGTCATCCCTGTGATTTCCCGAAATACCATCTGTTATCCACTCTGCGCCCCCCGCTCACCTCCTCCCATCCTGCATGCAACCAAGCATCCTTCACCCTCCACGGTCACAATGTCAAACACTGAAGCGCAGAATTCAAGAGAAACCGAAGAGAAACAGTACCTTCATCAACAGCTGATCTGTCTCCCCATCCTGCCCAACCTTCCTGAGATATCCCCTATCCGTGTCTGTCTGATCGCCGGGGGATAGAGAGCACAGGGCAGCGGATAGAGAGCGATCAGCATCCACTCCGCCTCCCACTTTTGCGCGCATGCGCCACATCTGACAGGTGATCACAATATATATCACGCACGGAAATTGAAATTAAAGGGGACAAGCGATTTATTTCCCCTGGAGTCACGTGTGATCAGACCTGAAAATTTACCCTTATGCTGAACGTCTTCTCAGTGGCCGCTGACAGATTTGATATGTCATTGCTGTGATCGTGAGTTGCAGTATAGCTGGATAATAATAATAATAAAAAAAAGAGCAGCACTGGATAATTTCACATCACTTTAAATGTTATACCCGATTAATTGCATTTTCTAGACAAATGACGCTCCCCTGTCACGTTCACTTATTTCTCTTGTTCCTGAAAGCACAGTGGATTTAAATCAACACTGAGCACAAGAAAGGCAAATAATGCCTCATCTGCTTTATGTATGTGCTAGGTCCTCTTTTGGATTTGCAGTGTGAGCATGCCCGAGCACCATTAAGAAAGTGAGCAAGCTATGACCCTCTGTTGTCTGAAAGACAGAATGAGAGCGCTTTCCCCGGCTTATATATTGTAAAGTTCAGCTTTAGACTCTGTCTTAGAAGAAATTAGTTCATCTGACCTGCCTCTAAGTTTTCTTCTTATAGTGCTCTCTGTCAATTTAGTTAAGGTAAATGTTCCAACCAGCCTTGGTTCCGGATCTCTTCCACAGTAATAATGGGCTAGATATAATCCACACAGCCTCCATTATAGAGTATCAGTTCATTTAGTTTCATTAACAAATAAACATGCTTAGTGAAGCAAAATGCATGAGTAACTCTGTGCACAAGCAGCTCGTGTTGTTTTATTTAGCTCATACAAAAGAAATTCACACCAACTGCCACTGTATATCAGTTCTTCCATGGTTCAGACCTGGACACCTGTCAAGATTTTGACTGCATAATCTCGTTTTTTCCCCTTGTACTAACTTTCTTATCTCTGTCACAACTGAAAGAGCAGATGTGAGGAGAAGAGACAATTTGGACAATCATATCTGGTCCTGCTTTGGAAAACTTTTCCAGTTCAAGGAGGTTGCATATCATGATCACAGCTTTTGGCAGCTCTGCAGAATTTCTAATTATATTCGAAACAGATAACCATGTAAATGCAAAAATGTGTATACTACTAAAATATTCAAATATGTAGTTTTCTTCCTGGTGAACTGATGATATGGAATATATCACAAAGTTTAGCAAAACTTTTGCTCTATTATTTATCACTTCTGTAGCATCCTGCTACCATAAAAGAGGAAATTCACCCTCAGCGATTACTCACCACCACAGTTCATCATTTTTGAGCACTAATATAGATCCACCATGGCATGCATGTTTACTCAGTCGTACAGTCAATAATTTCCTACTCAGTGTCTGGTAAGCCTGAGGAAGCTCTGTGGGAAGGATAGAGAGCAAGTGTTGTGTGGGCGTGTGGAAGAGTTACGTCATGTGTGATGTGTGAGCAGCAGAATCGCTATGATCTCTCTTTGGAAAGCGCCAAATCTGGCTTCACTGCAGACATGTACACATACACAAACAGATACGCACACAGGAAACATGTAGCACAATCTCCATCTGGGGATATAGGCTGTAACTTTTCCGTGTCCTCCTACCTGGGCTGAAAATCCATTAAGTAATCTCAAAACTGCTTATCTCTACCTCATCCTCACAATCTGCCGCTTCCTTCTGTTTCCTCTTTTTGTTTTTGTAAAGTTTTAGAACAGAAAAAGAGTAGAGCTAAAATTATGTTAATGCACACTAATACCTTTATGTGCCATTAGGTAATGTCTTAGGTCATTGTTGTATCGTGAGCTTTAGGTTTCATATTTTCTTCTGACAATGATTACGAGATAAATAATATGATTAGCTTTGATATTTAAAGCACATTACAGTAAACAGGCTGTCTATAATTTAGTGTTTATCATTAAACAGTTTACACTCTTCCTCACAACAGATTTGTTTGTCAGTCAATATTATGTAAGACAGCAGGAAATCACCAGATGTGGGACGAGCATGTTCTTTTCTTTTGTTCCCTCCCTACTTGTCAGTTTAAATACAATAACCAAAATCTCCACTGTCACCATCCTTTTTTCCCCCACATACTCTTTGATAAGGGCAGACCAGACTTTGCTCTCACACAACTAAGACATCGCAGATTTTTAATTGCATCACTCACATGTTTACCAGCTGACCTCAAAGTGAATTAGAGTCTGTCACGTGTATCCAGGAACGAAACAAAAACCAAGTTGCTGATGGGAAGCTTTGAAAGCTCACTTCTTTTCAGTGGCTTCACATGTATAGAAAGTACAACCCCAATTACTAACAAGTTGGGACATAAAATTTAAATAAAAAACACAATGCAATGATTTGCAAATCTCATAAACCTATGTTTTATTCGCAGCAGAATGTGGAAAGCATATCTAATGTTTAAGCTGAGAAAATGTAACATTTTAAGAAAAAATAAGGTGACTTTAATGATGATATGGTGATGACAACACAGCTTAAAAAAAGTTGAAAATGCATGTTTACCACTGTAACATCTATCTTAACAACAATCCTGGGAAACATCTGGGAACTGAGGAGACCAATTCCAGGACTGTCCCATTCTTGTCTGATATAGAATCCCAGTCCTCAACAGTCCTGGGTCTTTTTTTTTTTTTAAATCAAATAGGTGAACGGTCTAGACTGTAGGCAGATTGGTTCAGCACCGAGACTCTTCTAGCACAAACCACACTGTTACAATAGTTGGCAGTAAGCAGTTTACCATTTTCTTGTTGAAAGGCTTTCACTGACAAAAGATTCATGTTGATTTAAAACCTGTATATACCTTTCAGCTTTGCTGCTGCCTTTCCAGCTGTGCAAGCTGCCGATTTAATAGGCATTAAGTCGCTCCCACATCATCAGAGACGCAGGCTTTTGAATGAGCACTGATAACAAGTCAGATGGTCCCTCTCCTCTTTAGTCCAAAGGATGCAACATCCATGTTTTCCAAAATGAAAATTAGTCTGACCAAAGAAACATTTTCCACTGTTTTCAATCTTAAATGAACTTTTGACCCGAAAACACAGCCGTGTTTCTGAATCTTGTTCACATATTGGTTCTTCTTTGCATGATAGAGCTTTAACCTTTGTTTGTGGATGCCATGGTGAACTGTGTTCACAAACACAGAAGTGTTCTTAGGCCCAAGCCCGTTTCTATGACAGAATCATGCCTGGTTTTAATGCAGCGCTGCCAAAGATCACAGGCATTCAATACCGATTTCTCCAATTTGTCATTTGATGATATGATGTACTGTAAATGATGAGAAGACAATTTTATGTTGAGGAACATTATCCTGAAATTGTTCCACAATGTAGCTTTTTGTCCATTTTTACAAACCTCTTATGCGGTTTTTATATTCAGCTACGTTACTGACCTGTAGCCAATTAACCTATTTGGGATGTTTTGTTTTGTTTTTTTGCTAAATGTTCCTCCAGGTGTTTTTTTGTTTTTTGTTTTTTTGGTACCACTTACTTTTCCAGATTTTAGTTTTCCCACGTTAATGCCATCACATTCAAAATGAGGTGATAGTTTTTTGTGAAATATGAAGATTTTGTAGTTTAAACATTTGATATGTTTTCTATTTTGTATTGTGAATAAAATATGTTTTATATGGCAGTTTGAACTTCAGACCTGCTTGCACAGGGACAGAAGAGCTTCTTGCTACTTTGCTTATCTGTTACTAGCCCAGTAATAAAAACCATAAATGTGTCTTTTATAGGAATTTTAAATAAGAAAATAAACATGATGGCGTGACTAAGAAGAGTTGACCAAACACATCTGTAGTTCTCGCTCATGTAGTAACGCTCTTGTATTCTACACTTGTATTCTTCTCTCCACAGTTGATACCAACACCCACACACCCGTCCCTATTTCTCTCTCACTGTTTCTCTATCAGGCTGTGTACACAAACAAACTCAAACAGATTTGAGAGGCAGTACTTATCTCTCTCTCATTTTAATTAAGCAGACACTGTGGAGCATTATGCTGCCTAGCAGTTTCTAACTTCCCTAGCTGCAATTCTCACATATGAGACTGCTACTTCCGCAACAAGAACAACAGTCAAACATTCACTTTTTTTGATAATGTTGGAATAAGTTTACAAAAACACACACCTCTGACGTTGACCCTTGAGGAATTCAAAGCAGTTTTTTCCCGGCATGGTTTTCTCGGGAGCAGAGCCGGAGCAAGGTGGAGTGGTAACCTGCATCGAGGTGTATTGCTGTCCTCTGTAGGTCTCTAGGTCTCTGTGCCTGAGTATCTGGCAGGTTCACAATGTAATCTATACAGTAACCTGATCACACACACTTTGCCAGCATCATTAAATTTACATATCTGCCCCTGGGAGGGGAAAATATGGACTTGCAATAATACTCTCTGAACAGAACCGAAACACATGTGGAAAGAGCAAAAATCACTAATATAATATTAACAGCAGATGAAGGTGTTTACAGGTTCTGTATTTCAGGAATCTAGTTCTGTGTGTAATTCGATCTAATGCAGGCTGTTATTCGTTGCAACATGTTATTAATTGCCAGAATATAGATCCTTACATCCCTGAAGGGACTGGCTCAACAGTGGACAGGAAAAATACACAAAAATTGCACACTCTGTCATGAGTTGTTTTTCCTGTTGAATGCGTTGTTTACAGTTCGACTCAAGTACAAACTGTGTCGCACATAAAATATGTTCCAAACAATGCAACTGACTGACCGTTAACTTGTTTGTGTTCGAATGTACATGAGACACAGGTAGAGATTAGATTAGATAGAACTTTATTAATCCCTCGGGTGGGTTCCTCTGGGAAATTCGATTTCCAAAAAAGCACAGCACCGACAGAAGTTACAGAGTTATACACACACACATATATATAAATACAGAGACAATATAAATAAAATATACGAAGGGGATAAATAGAATAAATAGGAATAAAAATAAAAATA